ATGGTCATTTCTTATAGTCTTCTCTTCGAAGCACTGGAGTGATGACACCTTTCACACCTTCCCTTCCAAAACGTATAAATAAATAAGCCTAATAAAAATTCTTAAATTTTTTTTGATACATGTTTAAATCAATCACTTAAACGGTTTAAAACGCGATATATATTAGTTAAACTGATTTAAACATTATTTTAACTCTGGCCCGACGTTTCGGATGCTTTGCAGCAGCCGTGGTCACGGGGAGACTAAAGTTGAAGGGTGTGTCTGACGTCAAACTACAAGTTCAAGTTACAATTGTAAGATACAAGAATCATGTCTTTCAAATACTTATAAATATTTTGTTGTAACATCCAATTAATATGTTCATATTTACTTTGGAACAGAATCTGTTGGTGTCTTTGCAAAGGACAGTAATAGGCCGTTAGCTGCGTTGACCGTGGTAAATCTCTTGTAATCCGTGGCAAATATAGTTGAGAGATAAGGTGCGTCCGGCCGCGGGGCGTTAATGCCCCATTTGTATGATGATGCAGAGTGGGTCTGGGCCCCGTTTAGTGTTCTGGCGAAGGTCCGTGCATAACCACTTTGCCGAAAAGTAGGTAATAATAATCTGCTGTGCTAAGTTATATTGCTGTTACAACTTACATGATTTAATAAAAATAAAAATTATTTGTCAAATTGACCTTCTTGTGTCTAGCTCGTGCCGTCAATATTTTCAATCTAAATAGATATTAAAAATATATAATGCTATTAAGTGTTTACAAATAATACAATGCATTTATTGTTTTAGCTCTGTATGTTAAAGAAATTAGGCCTTTTCCAATCTTAAAAACTGATACCCCGCTACCTCTGCTCTGAGCACTTGACCCAGGTATGTTTAACTAATCTCATTTTATTTACTATTTATTATTTACTTATTGTGTTTGATCAGACTTCTGTGCTATTCCCGACTAAAATTATCCTTTCACCAAGATTAGAACTTAGAACCAGACTCGATGGCAAAAATCACGGAGGCGGCATCTCCTAAAATTAATTTCGTAAATGCTCTGTTAAATTCCGTAATTACTGTGTAAAATTAAGTGTATTTGTATTTTTACTTAGCTTAAATACAAATGCACTTCTGTCACGTTATAATAATATATTTACAAAAACAAGAAGAGTAAGAAAACAGTATCGTATATTAATTTTTACAGTCTGGAATTGTTTAGCGATAAAAAATATAGCGCAGAAACGAGCAGACAGTGTAAACAACGGTAACGATATGTGATGTTTGTTTTGAAAAAATGAGCAGTGGCGGTCAGTTCATTTACATAGTAAACGGCGCTTAGAATGGACCGTCACGTGCGATCCCAAGGACTGCCCTGCTATCAAAGACAGGAGCACAGTTGCCGCACAATATTCAACGCCGTTACTACTAACATTAAAGGTTTAAATATAAATGTTACGATTTTCAATTAAAAATCAATGTGATTGACATTTCTATAAACTATAAGAGCATACATAAGTTATATTGCAATATAAACGCGTGGTTTTAACCAGACATTACAACAATATAACATGTATGGCTAATATTAAGGGGTTGATCAATTCAATTCCCATCGGGTCCAACATGTATTTAATCAATGTTTTTTTTATACAAGTTTAGCTTCGCCTAGAAATGAGGGTATTCATTGGGTGGTATAAATTTTAAATTTTCATCCGGTCATGTTCATGTCATTCGTTCACAGAATATAAAACAAGAAGTTTATTCGCGTTTTGGTTTTTATCTGTGGATTATCGAATATCCAAGTCGAAATAAAGTCGACAGCAACACTTGGTTTTGAACCAGAATTTGGTTTTTCTGTTGAGTATCGATCAACTTGGCACTCTCGATAATCAATGAATAATAAATTGCAGGGCCAAATAGCCAGATAATGTCAAAATAAATATTAATATGAAGTTACTGAATGTTAATAAAGTAACTGTGGGTGAGTTAGCGCTTTTAACATGTCATTAGCGGTTATCACTTCATTCCAGATGAAAAATCTTTAACAGCCTGTGACGCCACTCATGTACGCGTAATGATTTATTAATTTTCACCGCCGTTAAATATTCTGTTCTGCATAATGAGCTTATAATAATCAATAACTAGCAAAATTTTTACAGCACACTGAACATTTAACGTAGATAAGGATTGTATGTTTCAAAATTGGATTCATTCGATTCTTTTCCTTTCGAGGAAACTTCTAATGTAAATAAACTGTAAATGTCGTATATTGCGTATTATTCAGCATATTAATATAAATCTGTATAACAACTAAGGTCTAGGTGTATGAAAATTTTACGTGACTGGCCAAAATGATACACAAATAATAATTTTAACATTAACATTACCCAAAACAATATACTTTTCAGAGTCTTTCACATTTCTAACAATTATTGTTAGTATTATTATACTTTTTGGTTAAGGTTGGTAAATTCCTAAACCATTATTTTAACATAAAAATTGGCTAACCTACAAACTCCAAATCCCGGATGAGGAACAATGTATCTTTTTTTTATATAATTGTCACTAAGTTTTAAAGTAACTTAAATGTTTTCAAATACTTCTTGTATATTATAACGTTACGCATTTTATTTTGGCTATAATAACATGAATGTATGTTAAACATATTGACTGTATACCTTTATTTGTAACGAAACTCGTTTATATATAATAGAACAACTCATTAAAACGAATTGAAATTCAACTACGACTTCACGTTTCATACGTGTGAAGTATTATTATGACTGCATTTAGGTACAAATACCATGTAATCAACTTAAAAACTTTTCGAAAGAAAAATTGATAACAGATAATGAATCACTCGTTCACTCGAACTATAAAAAGTAACGATTACCAAAACTTTTAATTGATTGTCTGGATTTTACAAAGCCATTTTTGAAAACGTTATTATTTTTTACATCTTATTGCACATAAAGGCTTAAAAAATCGAAAATAAATTGCAAAAATTTTCGACTCGGGCATTACTTGAACAGGCATCGTCTGGGTTCCGTGCTGTTGCTCTGAACATGATATTGATATTTAAATTATATAATGCCATTTTTGTTTACTATTTTCGTCAGACATGGAAAAGCAAAGTGTCATATAAAACAAAATAGAGTATACCTTCTCGGGCTCGTTCTTCTAATGGTAGCAATGTATGGCTAATTATCTATTTTCAAAGAAGAAAAAATCCGTAATAGTTGGACTTTGTAAATCTGGATATTAATGGGTGGTAGGAATATCGAAAATTCCGTCCGGGTCCCTAATCATCGTCCACAGACAAAAAAGCCGTGAAGTTTAATCGCGTTTCGGTTTCAGTCTGCGAATTTCTGAATATGTTAGCCCAAAAAGGTCGTTAACGCTTCGTGGTAGATGATATATGGCTGGGATATATCACCTTCCATCAAGTAACCTCATGTTTGTTATACGCCATAGAAATACTTGATACTACGAATTTATATAAGGGATGGGATAGTAAAATATTATCAGATACTTAATATGTATTAATTAGTAGATGGAGGTTGAAGAGGCGACCCAATCGTATCGTGCGTACTACGCCCCGCCACGCTCGCGCTGGAGTGCGACTGCCGAGTCAGCATCCAGGCCGATCGATACTCATCTCACCCAGCCTATTGAATGGCCTTTTGTTCTTGCAAATTATAAGCTGCATATAGCTATGAAATAATATAGAAACAGCATTTGTCTGTCTAGTTATAAATTTAATTAAGCAGGGTGATAAAGTAGAATTTAAAAAAATCTGTATGTATGTAAACGTTAAGCAAAAGTACTGAGTGGTTCGTTTTTCCTTTTTTCACTGAAAGAGACTTACTTTTATTGACTTCGGAAGGCATTGAAAAGTTATAGTAATTAATCATAATCAATATCAAATCTTTTATATTAACACTAAATAAGAAACTCAATTTTTACCTACAATTATATCAATTTCTCTTTTTTGTCTAGGTCACGCTTAACTTTTAACTATTCATGTCTTCATACGTATAATAATATCGAAATAAACAGATGAACGGGCCAGCAAAGTAGAAAAATAATAATACACTGGGTCCGAGGCTTATGGCAATACTTAGAGATTAAGTTTTTCTAGGTTATTTATTTTAGTAAATATTTTTTATTTCCTTTACACGCGTAATAACCAATGCATTGGATAAATTATAACAATAAAGTATCCCTTTTAAAATATATATTCCTGTTACAAGACAAAATGTTCGTTTTATAACTACGCTACAAGGAACAAAAAGCTGGTTTTATTTTTTCTCTATTTGGCGGGAGTGTAGGTGTGCGTCACAACAAGAATCATATTTTTTTTATAATTCAACCAACTGAATTGCTAAAACAATTAATAATTATTATCAGGTATTTTTTTTATGAAAATGTTGTCGTTAATAATGGACGATCCCGAAAAAAAGAGCAAAACCTCACTGCCAAACAAATTCCAAATAGAGACGTTAGGTTTAAATTCCCGCGTTGCGCAATTTGATTTGGTTTTGTTTTTTCGTATTTTCCAAGACTAGGTACAAGGCTTTTCGCTAAAGTATTAAGTCAACTGTCAACGTAGCTGTCAAAATGGTCGCAATGTCACACCAACAAGACGAATAAACAGTCAATTTCACTTTCATTATGATTGCAAATAGATACTTGTCAAACTCTTGTCAAAAATCAAAATACTGTGATGGCTCGATTGTTTGTTTTTGTGAAAAATATATATTAGAAAGTCGTAAGAAGGCGTAGAAAATAAGTGATACCATAAAAGTATTCTCTAAAACAGCAACTATTGTAAGGGATAAATTTGAAAAGATTTAGATAATTGCATGAAATAAGACTTGATTATAGTTGTTAGCCTTGAAGTACATGGATGTCATCTAAATTAGTCTTGTTTATTTAACATTTTAGTAATATTAGTCGTAATTTCACGATTATATGGCTCTGATGTTTGACTTATGGTTTGCGAAGATTTCAAAGAGGCATGATTTACCCACGAATTCGACAGAAAGGTGCAAGTTTAGTAGTTCTCAGTTGGACTTGTCTGGCTGTATTGTGTGCCGCGTCCACAGCCCCTTGCGACAAAACTCGTAGAATTTTTACGGACCCTAGCGGAATAATTACCGATGGCCCGAGTAATTCAAACTACACACAAGTTAGTAACTCACCTTCAGAATTATGGATGAACCTTGTGTTTAAACCTTGAACACATCTGTATAAAACATTATTTACAGGATTCACATTGCGAATGGCTAATTAAGGCAGCTAATAAATCTCAATACATAACTTTAAGCTTTATCCGTATGGGCACAGAATGTTCCTACGATTATGTTTTTGTTTATGATGGTGATTCGTTTGATGCCCCACTACTCGGCAGTTTTAGTGGGAAAACTGAGCCCCAAAATGTTACGGCATCCAGTGGTTATGTAAGTAGCTAAGCTAACTAAATAAGAATTATTAGATTCTATATAACAGTTTTATACTTGATGAAGGAGAAACTTAACTGTCTTTTTAATTTTCAGATGTTAATTTTATTATACAGTGATACAAATTATGTCCTTGATGGATTCAGAGCAACTTATGCGATTCATAATTGTCCAAATAACTGTACTGGTAGAGGAGTATGTGTGCCAAATAAATGCTTTTGTGTGGGTACCTGGGGTGGTCCAGATTGCAGCATTGAGTTATGTCCAAATGGTTGTTCAGGAAATGGTCAGTGTAAAGGGGACAGATGCATATGCAAAAAAGGGTATTTACATTCTTACTATACTTAAACGTAAAATTTTATTAGTATAATTTATGGCAGCTACTTTAGTATCACTTTAAGGTGAAAAATTATTTACCTCCACATATAACATTTAGTATGATGATAGAGAAATTCATAACTTAATTGTCTTTGATACTGAACAAAAAATATATGCAAGTTGGCCTCTGCATCATTAACATTTTCCTTACAATTACCTTGAAGAGACTACAGATAAAGAATTTTTAAAATTATCATGTTTTGTGAATGTTGTAGGTTCTCTGGAGAGTCTTGTTCTCTAAAAAATAATGACAAAGACGGCAACAGTTGGCACTGGCTCTCACACACGGAAAGTGGTATGACCAAAAGGGCTGCACACACAGCAGTCTATGTCAATCACACAAACTCTCTATATGTGTTTGGAGGATATGATCTTAATAGAGTTCTAGGAGTATTAGAAGTGTACAAGTGAGTTATATTTACCTATTTTTTTATATAACCTTTAAATAAAAAAGGCAATTAAATAAATAATATTTTTGTGAATTTTAATCAGGTTTCATTAATTATACAAATATTCTACTTATAAACAATCTAATTATAAACAAGTCTCGGGTTTGATTTTCTCAAAAATTTGATTTTACTGGGTGGGGACCTGGAAGGTGTTCTTCCTAATTGAAATCAATTAGTCAACAGACAAGCAATATGTCTGCCTCATTCCCTCATAGAGTTCATAAAGAATCAGTTTTCTTTTTCATTTTGAGTAAAACATTTTTACAATCATTAATAGCCCTGCCACTTGAAACATTTTCCTGTATTAGTGTAATATTACAGATTTTCTACTAGTCAATGGTACGATGAAAACGGAAAAGTTTTACGCCGATATCCTACTAATGAAGAAATTGATAAGTCACTATTGACTTTATTTACAAAGGTGAGTATGTCGGAAGCAGTTTTACCGGGTTATATAATTTTAGTCATTTGTTTTTGCTTTGAATTGAATTTGCTTTTGCAAAGAATGCTACCAAATTTGTTTATGAATAAGCTCATATTGTCTCCAAAATTAAATTAAAAATGGTTTTTTAATAATATATTTTTAAAGCAATGTGAAAAAATAAGACTGTAATTCCATCGAAATCATTTGTACTGCACTTTCTGTGCAATTAAAAATAATTACAATGAAAATAGCATTACCTTGGAATAATAAATAGATTATTCACTTTTATTGTATGTTTATTTGTTTATTCCAGGAAATGATAAGTGCATTTATTTGTGTCTGTGAGTGTAAAGATTAATTAAACTGTAAATGTGTTATGAGATGTTGATAAAGCCGCTGATACAGGCAGGCGTCGAATCCACGACCAAGAGCCATTTGTCTACTATAGTGATGTGAATACATATAACACCTGAATATTCCTAATATTCAAGAGGATTCTGCTAATATTTCGATCATAATAACTTATTTTGAATTTCTACAAGTAGATCTAAGGTATTCTTATAAAACTACGCACCCTGTATACTTTTATAAAATGCCCTTCCGTATTAATCATGTAAGAATATGACAGTTTGATTACAATGTTAAGTTGTTTACAATAAGGTTGAATTGTGTATTTTTATTGATTGCCTATATCAGAGGTAATTAAAAAACAGATTAATGTAATTAATACGTCGCGCAATAGCTCCTATAACTGTAACGAGTAATTAAATACGCGTTTTTAATTAGGTGAAAAAAAAAATATTTTTCAAGTGAAATATTTCAACGATCAATAAATTATAATCAGGTTGCGTTAGTCGCATTGCGTTAACCACAACAAGTTCAGGGCTCGAATCTCGGGGAACTAATAAATAGTTTCGCTCGGGTAGGGCTCAGAACACTGATCAGCTACTTGCCCATACCTAATAAGATGAAACGGGTTATCACAAATTTATCTCAATAATATTTTTTACAGGGAAATATTGATGGTAGCTGGCAAATAGGAAACAGGAGTTCATTATTCAATTTACTTTTAACGTCTTTTTCACACAATGACAAAACAGCGTTACCTCTCATGTACACCCATCCGCCTATACCATATTCTGAGAGTTACCTCCAGTTTACTGACAGACCAGAGTTCATCACTAAGACATCTAACAGTACTAAACCTGAACCGAGGTACGGACACTCGGCGTGTGCGTTCGGAAAGGGGTTCATTTTGTATGGGGGAAAATTGTCTGACGGGAGTCTGTCTTCAGAGTTATGGTATTACGACGCCATAGATAATGTATGGACTCTGAGGGCGGTCAACTCCAGTTTCACACCGCCGGGTCTCACTCGACATACACTTACGGCTGTGAAGGACGAATTATATGTTTTTGGTGGGAGTACGGTCGATGGAGAATTCTCTTCCAGGTATTATTTTATTATATATTCTAGTGCTAATGAAAAGATACTTATGTTAGGATGTTTAGTTGCTCTTTTACATTAAAACGAGAAGGCAGTTGTTGTTTATAAAAAAATTCTACAACTATGGATTATTACGGTAGTGAAGAGCGCAGAAGTCTGATGAACTACTTGCCTATAAATTAAAAACCCATCAATGAAACAGATATAGTAAAATGAGTTCGCTCCAAGAGAGGAAGAGGTTCTGGGTTTGAAAACTAGAGATATATCAAAAATCGTGTCAGCCGGACGGGGCATATATAGATAAAATTGATTAGTTAAACACATACAAAAATAGGCTAATATGGGATTACGCTAGTAAAGCCCCGATTACTAAATGGAACTAACATTTTTTAAAATAAGAATGCGAGCTTTTTATAACTTATTTTCTACTAAAAATTAAGTAACTTCTATATCACTTAATCAAATACTAATAAAACGTACAATTTCAGTTTGTACAAAATTAAATTAGGCGAAGCAAGCTCAGAATCGTGGGAGAGAGTGCAAGTGCGTGGTGGAAAAGAGTTGGATGTTCGTGTTGTAGCTCACACGGCTGTGTACCATGAATCTTCTAATTCTATATTAATCTATGGCGGAGTCGTCGCCAGTGTTGCTAGGTAAGATAATTTAGAAAAGAAAAAGTAATTTTAAATATAGGTACTTAAATGAATTCAAACGTGAACATATGTTAGAGTTAATGAATTTCAACTTATTGACCAGGCCTGCTGAAAAGTATCAAAAACGTTAATATTTATTTTTAATATACGAATATTTTCCAGATTTTCAAAGCTGTCAGATCGAATGTTCACATTTGATTTGGACCATCGGCACTGGAGTGAAATACATTATCCTCGGGCTCACTTACGCGAAACTTACGTACCTCGCGAAAGAGCTTTTCACACAGCTACTGTTATAGGTAAGCATTCAATATATAAAGCCATAGCTTATATTAAGCAACACTAATAATTTATTCTTTTATGATATGACTTCCTTACGAATCGCCAGTCATTCACTAACTTAAAATAAAACGACTTTAGTCTATACGGGAAAAATTAAAATAAATCAATTTTAGAAGTTCAAAAGATAGCATACTGTTTTTCAGTTTTATGGCAAACTTTTGGGATTTCATTAATATATCTTTCAAAAATACTAATAGGAAACTACTTAGTTGTCTTTGGAGGTTATTCTCACCGCCATAACAGGGAAGAAATATGTTACGATGGACAAATGTATCTTTACCACCTTGGATGTCATGCGTGGATCCCTCTCGATGTGTTAGGAAGAACGCGTAAATTGTACCCAAAGAAGCAGGGTGTATTTGCGCATGCGGCGGCATTGAAGCCTCCCTCTACATTGCTCATAGTTGGGGGATACCACGGAAATGTCAATGGTAAATAATTTAGAGTTAATAATTAGGGTTATTTTACTAACATATGAAAGCAACTAAAAAACGACACAACGAGCTAAAACGAAATAAGTACAATGGTCTCCCCGTGACCACGGCTGCTGCAAAGCATCCGAAACGTCGGGCCGAAGTTAAAAATCATTTTCAAATAAGTTTAACTAATATATCGCGTTTTAAACCGTTAAAGTGTTTTATTTAAAAGTGCAATGATACAAAACAATACAAAAAATATTCTTGCAACATAAAATTGTTTAAGATCTACTCATTGAAGTAACAAATTGTGAGGTATTAAGTATAACCGACTCCGAGTTATTCTGTGGTAATTTATTTCCTTGTTTTCCGCTGCAATCTTCATAAATTTACATACGTAATTATCGTCCGTAACAATTGAGGAATGCAATGACTACAAATTTAAATTGGATGGCTTATGCACAAAAAAATATTCATAATTGTATTTTAACCGTGATCTGAACTTATTTATGTTTTTTTATAGCTATATCAAAGCATGTTTACTAGCTTTTGTAATGCTAATTTATTTTGTAGGCGACTTGCTTGCGTATGTGGTACCCAGTTGGCACGCAGGGATTACAAGCAAGGACCCTGAGTCAGCCTGCCCCAGGCATCGAACTCAACCCGAATGTCTGGCAGATCCAGAATGTGGTTGGTGTTCGGCTGATGATGTAAGTATCATCTTAAAATACACTTTAAATTTATACTACTTTACTCAGCTTTATATCGCTTAACTATTACTAAAAAACGTTTTCAATGAGTTCTCATTTGTATGTGAAAGGTTTTTATTTTCGACTTAGAATTTTCAATGTCATAAATTGTGTCAAATGCGATGTCAAAAAGTTAAAAATTGTGGAAGTTTCATCATTAAAATGGCCAAACAGTTCAAAACGCAAGTAGATTTTTAACCTCGCGAATTATATGAGTAAAATGCTGCTTTTTGTTGCACTTCTATGAGATTTAATTTCTTGAAAACATATTTTCAGATTTGCTACGGACGCACAATCGGTTCGAATTGCACAACGAACCTACAATCCATCCGCTGTGGTGGTATTTGTCCAGCCCTTGGTGACTGTCAGTCCTGCCTAATCCATGGTCCACCTTTAGGAACGAACAGCACTCGAAAACCTGTGTCTTCAGTGAGCACTAAATTAGGGTTATACCAGTGCAGTTGGTGTGTGCAGAACGCTCGCTGTCATCATAAAGACGGTATTTACGAAAAACTTTATACATATTGTTTTTGTATCACATTCTATAGTCTAAATGCTTATTATTACCAAAAATGGGACCATTAAAATTGATTCACTTTTACAATGTCATAACTATATACGCTAAATTCAAAGTTTATCGATTTGATTAAAAAAAAAACAAAATAATCAAAAAAACATTTATAAACTCAGTCTGTAGTTTAGAATTGTCTCCAAATTAAATTACTCGTAAAATAATCGTATTTATATATATGTTACAGATAATTACGGCGTTTGCGGTGAAGACACACCGTCAGAGTACCCTGGTTGGTGGGGAACCACGGGGACAGAAGTCACAAGCCCGGAAGAATGCAAAATGTTGGATAAGAGACCGGGGCTCACATTCTTAAGATACCAGCAACCGGCAGATTTGAATCATCCGGATGCAGTAGCCGTCGTCAATGCTACCACTGTGGATTGGGGGGCAGGGGGAGGTAGCAATAACATTATCACTGGGACTAGTGAAACTCGTCTCAAGGGATGGTTACATATACCGCAATATTGGAATGGCACCGGGGAATCACTGCACGTGTGTGCCGGCCACGCGAACCTCACTTTATTACTGGGCGAGAAACCAGATCCGGTAGCGAATGTAACCGGATATCCTTCGATCTGTGCTCCCGTCGATTGGCCCCTGTTGCTACCCGGCCGCCTCTCGGTAGATATGCAAGCTAATGATTCTCTTCACACCGGCCTCTACCCCTCCCATTACCATGCCAAAATGGAATTGCTTCATAATAAATCACAGGAGAGTACGAAGGTGAGTTTAACATAAATATATGTCTATAATATTTATTTAAATTAAAAATAAAATATACAGTTATTTAAAAAGTATGGACTTTTCGTTAATGCGACATAGATATTATAACTATGTTATTTTTTTCAGGTATTTACATTCGAGTTTCTCGAACCCTACTCTGATGGAAAATGCTCAAACTACGACAATTGTCTGTTATGTCTCTCTGACGCCGCTTGCGGGTGGTGTGAGCTCACGAATCGATGCGAATCTAGATCACTAGATGAAGAAACAACTTGCACTCTCGATGGCGAGTGGAGATTCTTGACGTTACAACCATCGGCGTGTCCAAATTGCTCAAACTATATTAGCTGTGAGCGCTGCGTATCTGGTAACTATTGCGAATGGTGGGCTGACGAAGCGAGGTGTGCAAGGCGCGGGAGAGCCAGCGGAGCCATAGTGGATGCTTCTGAGTGTCCCGCTCCTTGTCGCATGCGCCTGGACTGCGAACACTGCCTCGACGAACGCGGCCGCTGCGTTTGGTGCGAAGCAACACGCCAGTGTTTCAGCTTTAGCGTATACACGAGCGAATATCAGTTCGGGTTGTGCCGCGAGTGGCTCGATCGAGCCTCCTCGCCCACGGATGACGTCACAAAAAAATCTGGCCAATGCAAATCGTGTCAATCGCACGTTCAATGCGCTACCTGCCTGAGAAGTATGGGATGCGGTTGGTGTCATTCCTTTGAAAATCCCATTAACGGTGTGTGCACTGAAGGCGACTTTACACGTTCGCACATCGATTGTGCCTCTCTTCTTAACGTCACTTCGTCTGATGCGGGTTGGGCTTACGCGCAGTGTCCAGATGTGGATGAATGTGGACTCGGGCTTCACGACTGCCACGAGAACGCAGTCTGTAATAACACACATGGATCCTACACTTGCAAATGTAAACAGGGTTATATAGGCGACGGTCGAAAAACATGCATGCGAACTTGTTATAACAATTGTATTCACGGGTATTGTCTAGGTGCGCCCCAATACAAATGCCACTGCGATTTGGGATGGACGGGAGCAGACTGCTCTATTAACTGCGGATGCCACAATCATTCGACGTGTAAAACCGGCGTGGGGCGATGCGACGAATGTCAAGATTGGACAGAGGGGGAATTCTGCGAGTCCTGTAAACCTGGAAGCCACGGAAACGCAACGACGGGTCAGGGGTGTCGCCGCTGTGACTGCAACGATCACGGGGACGAATCTCGTGGCATTTGTGACGTAACTACCGGAGAATGTATATGCAAAGACAATACAGAAGGTCAGAACTGTGAACATTGTAAACCAAAATTTTACGGTGATCCTAGACACGGAGGCAGGTGCTATTATCAGTGTGAACCTAGAGGCTTGCTAAAAGCGGACGAGACCGAAGGCATAGGATCGCATAAGACGGACCCCGATTTATCGAGTATAGGACCAACTAAGGAATGTCTCTGGATTATATCTTCGGAAGACATAAAAGATGCAATAATACAATTCACTGTTAATTCAACAACACTAAACGTGCCGTGCGATCAAAACGCAGTGTACGTGTATGACGGATTAGGAGGTGTGCCCGATATGAGTAACAATCAACAGAGTCAACTATTAGGAGTGTTTTGTAATGGCGCGTCGTCGGGTGTCGTCGAAGCTCGGAGTGGTAATTTAACTATACACTATAAACAAAGTCAACCAGACCAAGGTTTTGAAGGGGTTTATAAGGTGTTAGCGTGCGATGGACACTGCACGTGGCCACGAGTTTGTAACAATGGACATTGTACATGTCGCGAGGGCTTCGGAGGTTTCGATTGTAACATAGAAATATGTCGCAACAACTGCAGTAGACATCTAAACGGTGGTGTTTGTGACATGAATTACGGACGATGCCTGTGCAATGAAGGTTTCGGGGGTGACGATTGCTCTTTGAAACTCGATAAAACTCAACTGGTATTTACTGAATTGTTCGATTCAGATTTTCTCTCTGATGGGCTAGATCATCTCAGGAAGACGCTGCCTCGTTTTGGTCACAGCTTGGTAGCTGACAGACGAGGCCTGTGGATGTTCGGCGGATATTCCTTATCACATGGGCCCTTAAACGATATACGATTTTACGACACGAAAAACAATACCTGGATGCAAGTCACAGTGGAAGCCACTCCTGATGCTAAAATGCCCGAAGGCCGCTACTTTCACGCATCGGAAATTTATCATTCAAAGCAGAATATTTATATTTACGGAGGCTTAAGCTTGCAAGAAAAGAGCGGCCAGAATAAAACGTTACGCGACTTTTGGCAGTTTAGCTTAAAAGATCAGAGGTGGAGTCATATAAAAAGCAAGGAAGATCAGCCACCACCTCTCGCCGGACATACGCTTACTTTACAAAAATATCAGGATTATGAAAGTTTGGTTCTTATCGGTGGGTTTTCTTTGGAAGAGGGCTTCATGTCAGACATGTTGGAATTTGATTTAGATAACAACAAGTGGATTAAAATCAACTGTGAAGGTTCCAAACCAGACGGTATTATTGGTCACAGCACCGTTTATCATGCGCCATCTCAGAGTCTATATATTTTTGGGGGAATACTTTATAGTTATAATGGCACAATGATATCCAATAAACTTTACTCGTTTCACTATCCGACGAAAATGTGGAGCGAACTACCAACGTTCCCGGGGCTCAATGTTTTTGAAAATCTGCCTCGACCCACATTCCTACATTCTGCGGTCACTACAAACGAGTACATGATTGTATTTGGCGGGAGAACAATACCAGACAAGAGATCCAATTCACTTATAGCATATGTTTACAGCTGTAATCAATGGGTTAAACTTTCGAAAGGTACGTTTTTATATTGTGATCAATTTGAACCTTTACATTTCTTGATTGATAAAATATAAGATATAACAAATAGATTATAAATTTAAAAAAAATTAAAACTCGTGAAGGACTTGAACTGGCATCCACAGCGTTCCGTGCTTAATTGGTTAGAGCAACACTCTAATCAATTAAGCTACCGAGTCCCTACACGTCATCGATTCTTTTCAATCTATTGATACATGCACCTCTCGCGCAATGTAATTTGAACCTTATCATTTGCGTATTAATTTATATAGCGCCAACATGTGCTTATTGCATGTGAAAAATATTAAAGTTTTCAAATGATGAAATTATATTAAACAATGTTTTAGGACCATCAGTATTGGATCATCCACCACCTCGAACCATTGCGCACGCGATGGCGATAGACTTGGAATCGGAAAATGATTGGAACGTGTACATCGTCGGCGGCTGGACAGGCAGCGCCAATTGTCAAGTGACACGTATAACGTTGCCAGAAGATCTCTGTTCGCTATGGAGTTCTAGCAAGCTGGAGTGTCGCAGCCACATGGGTTGTAGCTTTTGTAGTACAGGCGAATACACGAAATGTTATTCTGTGGATAAACCCGGATGCGAGGGCAGCGATAGGGTCTCCACCAACGCTGGTGCTGCGTGTGACGATGAATTGGTAGCGAGGAGGCCCTGTGATAACCTAACTACTTGTACCACTTGTCTGGCTGCTTGGCCTTTATACCCAGAGGAAAAACCCGCTTGCAGGTGGTGCGAAACTTGTGCTGCTGGTGTTGGTGAGTTTGACGACAATCAAATGTTATATTTTCGTTATTCTAGATCTAAACTCGAAAATGATTTCAGGGGAATGTGTCCCGACTGACGAATCCTGCACCAGCATGAAATGTAACGCTGGGACAACCTACATCAGTGACGTCAATCAATGTCCCGAGTTACGATGCGTGGCATCGGATTGTGATAAATGTGTATCCAGCCAGTGCTCTTGGACCAGAGTTGCTAGTAGAGAAGGTGATAAAATCTAGTTCATATCAAATATAAGAAATTATGAGTCTGTCTTTTTGGTTGCCTGACTTTTATATAATATAATAACAGAATCATCAGTTTAAAAAAAATATATCGTTTCGTTGTCTCGTACTCTCATTCTCGTTATATTAAAAAGGTGGTAACTGATCTACGGAACCTAACGTAATTTGTAGGTTTTTGAGGTATCTATGGGTAAAGAAATATGTCGTAGTGTCCAACTCTAATATACTATCTATACGTTGTAAGTACACAACTGAAATAACTCGTAATTTATTTTTTTGTGATAACAGGTCAATTAACAAGAATAGCAAGCGATCCGACCGAGCTTTACAATTGGACCTGCATACAAAACGAAGAACAAGGCAGAACTAGTATTCGCGCGGTATCCTCCAAGTTTGGATACTCTTACTTTGGGTCAAGTAAGGACGAGTGTCCTAGCAGATGCCATCTTTACGAAGATTGTCAGTCTTGCCTTAGTTCTGATGGCGCAGAGGGGGGATTTTCGGAATGTCATTGGGCCAGCTATCTGGGGACCTGTATATCTCCAGCATACCAGCCGCTTTATTGCGCTGGGGGTGTGTGTGGATTGGTTCTCACAAAGGCGGATAAAAACAAATGTCCAGCACCTTGCGGAACCTTCGACCAGTGTTCTGAATGCTTGCACCATTCTCATTGCGGCTGGTGTGCCGTGGAAGGTGCGAACGGGGAAGGGGTCTGTACAGAGGGTTCCATCGATTCTCCCTTGGACTATTCCACTCGAACAACCTGCGCTGCAGTATATGCAAACGCCCACGAGTCGAACACGACCAACGATACGTTCTCCTGGCACTACACTCGGTGTCCACCAGAAAATGAATGTGAAAATAATCACCATCAATGTAAAGCTGATTCTGAAGTAAGTATTACAAAATAACTGCTGATATCATAGATTCCCGGTCATGTTTAAATCTTTATTTAATGGACACTATGATAGGTTATGTCACCCCATTAAATTAAAAATTGACGAATTAACAAAGATGGATATGTTAAAGCTATGATTACGCTATAACTATCTACATATAGAAATTATAATATAAGTTTCGTAGCTTCCCCTCAAACAGGAAGACTGAGATACTAATATGAGATGCCACCCAACGCTCCACTATACAAAGTATTGTCTTCTAGGTTTGTCGAGATTTGCCTACTGGTTACGAGTGTCTCTGTGGCGAAGGTCACAAACGCGTCGGAGGTGTGTGCGCGGCTGTTTGCTCGCAAGGGTGCGTGCGTGGTGTGTGCGTGCAGCCAGACGTCTGTCGCTGCGACTTCGGCTATGTGGGCGCTAACTGTACAATACAGTGCCAATGTAACGGACATTCGCATTGCGAGGGCCCGGACAAACTCGACAAATGTATCGAGTGTCATAATAATACTATGGTCAGTACGAAAGATATGTAATCTTTATATTGATAGCTTTAGACGGGTGTAATTGTAGCAATGTTTAGCTAATAATCAACGGCCACGACCCGTTGATTATTAGCTCGATTCACGTCGGGTGCAGCAGTTCTGTAACTAATTTGGAGTCTGGATATTAAATAGATGGTAGGAATATCGAAATTCCAACCAAGTGTTCGCTTACTCATTATTATTATTATTTTATTGATAAACGATTGTTAAAACTAAATTTCAGGGAAGCCAATGTGAAAAGTGTAAGCCAAACTTCGTAGGAGATCCAACAGATAACGGGCAGTGTATACCTTGCTCTGTATATTGCCATGGACACACATCGGTCTGTTCTAATGACGCTGATATATCTCTGACTTCTCGTGATGTGGGCAGTGCCGACCTGGAGGACTATTATCGAGATGCGAAGGCGCGCTGCGTCCGATGCGCTAACAATACGGACGGACCCCGTTGCGAACGATGCATCGAAGGATATTTCAGAGGCTCTGAAGATTTCAGAGATGCTTGTCGCCCGTAAGTATAATTTAAGTTACACTAACTTTTAAACAAAATACTTTAACGCGGAGACACGGGTCTCAGATAACCACGGCTGTAAAGCATCCGGAACGTCGGGCCTTAGTTAAGAATAATAAAGTTAAGTAAACCAGTTAACTAATATATTTCGCGTTTTAAACCGATTATGTTTTTTTGAATGCGTACTACTCGTGTAAACTACAGAGAGTATTTACAATAACTTGTAAAAATAATAAACATCTTATATTGTGAAATGTAAATAAGCTTTTGTGAAATAACGTGTGAAAATTATGACTCAAAGTCAAGTGTAGACTTTGTAATTTTAACTTCAATATTTTTCAAACCTATATAATTACGTTGAAAAGCAATGGACATTGAACTGATTTAGAGTTATACATACATATTTTAATTAGTAAGAACAAATCACATATCGTTCATTATATATTATATTATATGGATGGTGGAAAAAAAAGAAAGAGGTGGACATGATCGAGATCAGCATTGCGCGTGCGCCAAGATAGGGCGCATTTTTTTTCACTCTAGTGTCATTGTCAATTCATTGTATTATTCAGAGCTATATTAAAAAATCGCTTGACAGATGCGAGTGTCACGGCCACGGAGATACTTGCGACCCCGTGACGGGCGAAAAGTGCAACTGCGGTAACAACACCGAGAGCGACGCGTCCTGTCAGACTTCGAGCTCCAGCAAAAACTCTGCACAGGAATGCTGGCGCTACCAGTGCGTCAAGTGCAAGGATCTATACATGGGTGACCCACGAAACGGCCACCAGTGCTATAAGACTATCAATATTGAGAATAAAATCTGCTTCGATGGTAAATCTATTGGTAAGTTGAATGGCTTTAGGGACTTTTATACACTTTTATATGTTTCAAATATAAAAGTATGTAATTTAATTTATAGCCATAATATTTTATATATAACTAGTAAAAAAGCCCGGGAGTTATCTTTCAAAGGGATTGTAAAAAAGGATAAACGTAATTTGGGAAGTATTAAGTGCTCTAGCTTCAGTTTCATTTTATATGGGATTCCAGGTTTGATAATTTGAAACGTCGGCCGAAGTTAAAAATCAAATAAGTCAAAAAATCAAATCAAATAAGTTTAACTAATATATCGCGTTTTAAACCCTTAAAGTGTTTTATTTAAATCAATTTTATATATAAATTTTTCTAACTCTAATTTCAGATGAGTGCAAAATCAAACCGCGGCCCCTATTTCCCGGACAGACTGTATTTGTCGCAGTTAACCCTCGTTACATGAATGTGGATATACGAGTCATTGTTGATGTCACGCAAGGCGCTGTAGACCTGTACATGAGTCCAAATGACAGCTCTTACGTCGTCTCTGTCAATTCGTCAACCGGCGCACACGCAGTCGAGCTAGATCCTAGTTATTACAAACATGAACCATTCCGTAAAATGCCCTCTTTCGACGATCACATTCCAAAGAAATCCAGAGTTACTTGGTACTACGATAAAATAGAATACGCTCTGGCCGATTATACTGCTAAAGATCTGGCGACCTACGTGACCGTAGACAAGAGAAATGTCTTGTTGCGAGTGAGGAATCTTCGCAACAGACTGGTGCTAACCCTGCCACAGAACGTCCACGACTTGACTCACACAAAATTTTACATAATTGTTCGAGCGAGGAATACGGACGAAGGTTCAACTACCTTCGGTATTGCGTTCTTCAGACAAGACCAATTACATATCGATCTATTTGTGTTCTTCTCTGTTTTCTTTTCCTGTTTCTTTTTGTTTTTGGCTGCGTGTGTGGTCGCGTGGAAAGCGAAGCAGGCTGCTGACGTACGAAGGGCTAGAAGACGGCACGTCGTTGAGGTATTTTTGGAACTAAATATCCATAAATGTTCGTGACTCATTTTTGAAATAAAAAATAAAAATACTTAAAATTTTAAAAAATATTTAGATTCGTTAAAATGTTTAATTAAATGTCGTTGTTTAATGTCGTAAAAATGTTTGTCTGTCGTGATTCTACAGAATATTCCATAGAGCAACATAATCGAGAAGAACACCCAAGAAACTCAGTCCGGCTTTTTTTTTGACGACACGTTCTCGAGATTAAACTTATAGATACTATTAATGTAACAGTAAGTTTATTAGGTTGATTTGTATTTAATAAATATATGTAATTTCAGATGCTACACATGGCTAAGCGTCCTTTCGCCGGCGTCGTAGTATTGGTCTCGGGGGGTGGGCGGCGTCGTGGCGAGGTGCAACCAGTTGCTATAGAACCAACTGCGGACGGGCGAGCAGCGGTCACCTCTGTGCTAGTGAGGTATAACACTTGAAATAAATTATTAAATCTATAACTATTAATATAAACAAGAGGGGGGGATTAAGTCGTGCATGAGCGTGTCGTCAAGTGGCTTGAGGTGGTCTATGATGGTCCGAGCGTGAAGTAGAGGTAGACTATTTTGATCTTTTCTTCTTTAAAACAATATATGATTACTATTGACTAATTGGTGGAAATAGGATTATATTTTTTATATATATACCAATATAAGTATATACATGCGGGTCATACAACAATAATAAAAATACTGATTCTTTATTTTTTTAAAAATCATGTCATGTCTACTATAATTTGTAACTCTACAATGCTCTATAGTTTATGTTAACACTGTATAGGTCCCCTAAAAAAGCGATTTTAAGTTACATAATAATATTTAATTAATTTTATGTATAAAAAACATTTTCTGCTTTCGACGAATTTTCTTTTATTCGACAATAACAATTACATGATTATCAGGTTACCAGGTGGTTCGCGAGCCCCAGTCCGTATGGCGTTGGCGTCTGCTTTGGTGTTGGTTACTCGTGCGCCAGCACTGAGACAACGACCTCGCCGACCGCTGACTTAGTGCAGCATAGCGGCTTCGGTATTGTAGTATTGTAGCGTTACTACTCAATCGCCATATTAATTCCCTTATCTTTCATAACAATTAAAAACTAATGTATTAATTAGTATCTCATATTACGTTCTTTTTGCTTTGGAAATACGATCTGCGACATAAAATTGTAATTACCAACTACAATGATCTGTATTAGAAAAAATGTTTGTAAATTTTGAATGTATGTATATTTAGAAAAATTTTGTCGTTATGATTACTGTGTGGTTTTCGACTCATGGTTAAAGATTAATCGGGCTGCTCATAAAATTAGACATTATTATTACATATTCTTGTATAATGCAATTAATATTTAATTGGTTATTAGATAAATTTTAGAGCGTATTTTTTTTAAATATAACATATTTATTGACGTATCCACGGTCATATCAGAATTTAAGCGAGAAGAGCCAAAGGAATCAAATGGAGCGATAGGTGTACGCGGGTTGTGAATAGCCAATAGTAGGCAATACTGTTGAGTTGTTTAATTCGAAATTTTATTATGCCATGTTGAGAGACATTTTTCTATGTTATGGCTTGTTATTGCTACACATGATATTATATATTTAAACATTTTTATTCTATAGTTATAATAGATTTTATTTTATATCGAAATTAAGTTTATCATGAATCTCTTCGATCTAAGTTACTTGGTAATAGTATTTTGTATATTGTATATCAGTATATAGTATTATTAGTGTCTTCATAAATTCTAATGAACTTGTTTAATGGTTATTTTTTCTTGTATTAGATCTGACAGCAAAATCAATATATAAGTATTTGTAAATATTTAGTAATCAAGTGAAAATGGGATGGACTAATTTTATTCTCGTATCAAAAGAAATGGCAGCACAACACAATTAGGCATTTAATATTGCATATGTATTCGGAAAAGGTTAGTTAGGCTAATCAATTGTTGCATGTATATCTATGTTAATTTTAAGGGAATTTCTAAGCTGTGTGTTTACTATGCCACACAATTTTATAAAAACAAATCACAAAACTGGTATTTTTCGCACAACTTTTCTTGGGCAACTGGTGTTAAGGCACAATTATATTGTAACGCAGCTTGTATTTCAAGTCGTCTACTTGCTCATAATGTAATTGGCAGCATGTGCAAATGAAATGATGTAATAAATGTATATTGAGTAGAATGTTATTGAAATAAACTAATTTTAAGCGATAAACTATTAGATGTAATGATTTAAGAGAGTACTGATATTATTTGTATTATAAGCTGTTTGTGATCAGAAATTTATGAAAACCTGATTTCAGGTACTGTACTTTCAAGTCCATAAAACATTCCAATTGTATATTCTTTGTATATAGAAGCTAAAAGTAAATCAAATTGGCAGCAAGTGGAAGCTTTAAATACTATAAATCAATGAGAAATCAAATTGCTCATTCTTTCTTTGTTTTAATACAAATTTTCTTTATTTACATTTTTAATATTTTTCTTTTTTAATTGGAAATTTATTTTAAGGGTTTAATCTTAAACCCTGCTGTGTCATTTCCATTATTTTTTTCGCATTTTATTAAATAGTTTAAATCAATCAAGTACAATTATTGTTTTGTAAAGTTAATTTTTATATTTTAACCACTTTATTAAGATCTGAATAATATTGACAGATTTATGTATAAAATCAACTCAAGATATGCTTGCTCAAAAATGTACAATGATAATGAACATCATCATTTTGCAAATAATATGGTTTTTATAATGTCTTTCATTAACCTTTTATTGGAGCATAGTGTAATAAACTATAAGAAACATTGTAAAAATTTAAAGCATGATAGATATATCAGACATTGTTTAGTTGAGTCTATTGTTTCCCTTTACAATTCCATGACAGTTACTGCAGTCATGATGTTCAAATTAACATTAAATATTATGATCTATTAGCAGTATTATATAAGCAATAATATGTATTTTTGGTTAGTGTTTATACATAAATAAAATATACTGTTGGTTGAAATACAAGTAATTTTATTATATTGGACATGTATAAAAACAGATTAATAAGCACAATTATAAAGGAAATAATAACTTAATAACTGATAAGTATTTACTGATCTTTTTGTGTCAGTAAATGTGTCTTAATTTTCTGCAAAAGCTCCTTTTTTACAGTGTCAGGGACGGCAGCCCTAGCTCTCGGTGTCACTCTTGTCACCAGCATATCGAATGAGATATTATTAGACTCGTTCTCTCTAACTACATCACGACAAAGCATTCGTACTTGATCTCTCCATCCGCATTCAATTAGTCGCTTTCTTAACAATTCTTTGAACCTATAAAAACAATACTTAAAATATATTACTCTGCTTAGTCATAAAAATAACGTTAGCTGAAAGAAATGTGTGTGCGTGTGTGAAGACCCTGTTCATATTCGTGAGTAAAATATTTATTGTTTTATAGAATTGATAGTTGAATATCGCATACCTTTCTCTGTCACCGCTTAGAATTAACCTTTGGTGGGCTATTGTGTTGTTAACGGTCATTTTGGCAATGATTCACGTAACAGTCTTTTAACTGACGCGAAATGAATCAAACTCTAACTTGTGGCTCGGTTAATTTCTGCAAAACTAGCTGCAAAATCAATAACGTTTCTCCATGGTATGTAGTTCTAACCGATAAAAGGCCGCTTAAACAATCACAGAAACGAACTATTTGTATAGATTAGGCTTGTGCTAGGAAGGTACTGTACCTATATTATAAACGTTATATTATCATTTTGTCAATTGCACGTATTAAATTAAAATTAAATATAATTAAGTGATAAAGAAACAGTTACGCCTTTGTGCACAGGGGCGCAGAAATTGACATAGAGTTAAATGTTCCTGTCAAAAACATACGAGAGCAAGCCTATTTGACATTCGAATACCACAGAGTCTAAACAGCCCACTAAGTTTACTTGACATGCGTCATTTCAACTTAGTAAGGTATGTTATTTTTTTTGTAAGTTTATTTTAAAAGTATATTTTATCTGCAAATAATTAAATATGGGCTTATTTAATTAAAAAATAGGATTAATTGTATTCTACTTCAATTATTAATTTCAATGTAACGTAGTTTACAACTTTACGTCACATCCGCTCGCAATAATACACCGGTGATGCTTCGACGAGAAGAGATTTAAATCTTACACATTTATTAGATTAAAATTATTTTTCATATTCTCATATTGAATAGATTTATATATGTACTTGTAAACTATCCAATTATTAATAACTAGCTGTGTCAGCGACTTCGTCCGCGTAGAATAGTTATTTTGGGCATTCAAATTTGTTTTCTAAACCACTATGTCTTTATAAATTTAAGCTGCCCATGACATCGGTCCCGTCCCGTCGTTCGGGTAGTTTTCGCAGCGTACGCATGAGAAATACACAGACATTAAAATTTTCCCCCCATTTTGTTCACATTTCCCGATGTATCTTCGCTTCTATTAGTCACAGCGCGATGTATCCTTCCTCGATAAATGCTCTAACACAAAAATTCAGGATCAAAATTTTCAATTCGAATCCGTAGTTCCTGCGGTTATCGTGTTCAAACAAACCAACAAAATCTTCAGCTTTATAAGTATATTAGTATAGATATGTATGAATAACGAAACCATCAAGTAATAATAAAGAAAAAATAGGCGACGGGGAGGACGATGTGATGATATCACATTAGTGCAATATTAAAAATGAAAAATAATTCTTTTCACTCAGCGTGGCACTTCATGTGATTCACTGTTAATCCAATTTAAATATACTCACTAACACATAGTATCTAATTCTTGGAGCCGACAGGTTGTGGTTTCTATAGAATAGATTTATTTTTAATTGTGAAAAAATGAATATTTATAATATAATATCTAAAATTATTTTGTTGCAATTTTTTGGAACCGTTTATGTAAGTATCAGGTTATATTTAGAAGGTTTTTGTATTTGAAACTTTTAAATAATATGGCGAAACATGTGACTTTTTCAGGCAAGACAGTTGCGGGTAACCGATCAAGTATTTTTTGATATCGCCAACGACGAAAAGCCGTTGGGTCGAATCGTAATTGGATTGTTTGGAGATTTGGCACCTAAGGCTGTAAAGAATTTTAAAGTCCTTGCAACGAAGGGTATTAACGGCAAATCATATAAGGGCACTAGTTTTAATCGAATCATTAAACGATTTATGGTACAAGGTAAGATGCTCGTGTGATGGTGGTCGTATATTGTATTATCTATGCTAAACAATGTTTTATATTTATTTAAGGCGGAGATGTGGTGTCTGATAATGGTGCCGGTTCAATAAGTATTTATGGAGAAGTATTTGACGACGAGAACTTGGATACCGAACACACATATGCTGGCTTTGTATCAATGGCAAATAAAGGTTTTACTCACTGCTCACTCACCACAGTTACACCATAAGGTGTACTCCTAAAAGAACAAAATTATTTTAATAATAAATGCTTTTATTTTTCAGGTAAAAATACGAATGGTTGCCAGTTTATTATAACTCTAAAAGGCACGCCATGGCTTGATGGACTACATACAGTTATTGGAAAAGTAAGTTTAATTCAAGTCTACTTGATTTTTTTTTAATTGGGGCTTTGGATAGACAAATCTCCACAGACTGAAACTCTGCGGTTTTTCTATCTGTGGTGGTCCATGGCCATTTAATATACAAATTTTCCAGTTGAAGTATGTTTTAGACCCTTATTATAATTAGTCATACATTGCTATTAGACCAACGATGCCGTCATGACTTATACTTAGTTTATTCTGTTGAACTAACCATGAGCTGTCTGGAATAGAGTTAGCACGATCCAAGAATTAAAATATCGTAGTTACTTTAATCCTCAGATTAATCACATACATAATATACTTTTAAAATATTGTTTCGTATGCTTGTAAACATATCTTATACCTTAGAATTTAACACAAAAATAACTATAAGAATTTGTTATAATAACACTGAAAACATGTTTAAGTTAATACACCTTTTAATCTCTTAGTCTTAACTCTCACTTATGACACATTTTGTTACCTTTAGGTGGTAGAAGGACAAAACATTGTTCATGTCATAGAGCATACGCCGACAAACGTTGACGATCGCCCAACAAAACGGGTCTTCATCGCAAACAGTGGACTATTGCCTACAGATCCATTTTACATATCTGACAATCCTTATGAGTTAGTATATTATTTATTTGGTTCATTGTTTAGCCTATCTTTAGCGAACGTTTAAACAATTTATATATGTAATGCAGTTTGAGTTTTATAATACAATATAATGTATCATTGTTTTTCGAGCTGTTCGGCCGACGTAAGTGGGAAGAGGTTCCCGACGTTTCGTTATCACGAACGGACGGAATCATTAGGAGCTCCTCGATCTCCCGAGAGTTAATTTTTTGAACCTTCACGTCAGGCGAACAGCCCGAAAAACACTAGATATGCTGGACGATGGCAGTGAAAGCCTTACTTACGCAATTTATTAAGATATATATTTTTTTTTCAATTATTGAAATTAATAGGCAGACCGAATGTTATCAAAAGTAACCAATTATTTTTAGTCTACGTAGTTTTTGGCTGTGGCTAAGGTGGCATAAGGCAACCTTGCGTCTTCACACTATTGATTGGGGCTTTGTAGAATACTGTATAAGTAGTGTATATTATTTGTGTAATGATTTACTGTGAAGACATTTTCTTAAATCCATTATTTACTGTTTCAGTATATGGGGCTGGGTAAGAGCTTCGGCTGTACCGCTTACTATGTCTTTCTCTATACTTGGATTCTTTCATTGGATGATATCTAAAATTGACTTTTAGAAACCATTTTTACCAATCTAAGTTGTAATGTGATTAAGTATTGTTGATTTTGTTAAGTTTATCAGTGCGTTGTAATAAAAATAAACTATATGTTTCTGATGATCTATTATTTATTATATACATCTAGAGTTATTTACAGAAGCTTAAAATTATATCAGTTCAATCACAATTATTGTATTAGACATTAACTTTTCAATTACACAATACTCGCCAAACATTGAGTTAACATTATAATCGAGCTTTAAACGCACAATTTCTATAGAAAATTAACAAACTTAGTGTAGGTAACACTACGTTTAAGATATTTAACACATAATTATAAAGATATTGCAAATAAAATTTATAACAACAAATGGCTTATACTACAACATACGTTAAATTAATTATCACAAGAAAACATAAACTAGTTTTGTTTAATTCAATAAAGTCTATAAAAATTGTAATAACACAATTATCATAAGTAAGATGGTGGTTAGTGTATGTTTAATATTTGTAGCGGAATTTGGAGACTGTGTGGTAGTATCGGGTGCCCGCTGCGAAGCCACATTCCCGCATGCGCGAGAGCATGACGACCAATCGCGGCATACGTCACATGCGCTGCTTGGTATCGCGCGGAAGAACATACGAGCACGATGGCCTAAAGGGAAAATTTAAAATGAGACACGATTTTGGCATGGAAGATGAAAAACGTAAAATTTCTTTAGTCGAGAGAGCCCAACTTTATTAGGCCGATGTTACGTCTACTTACGTGTTTTATGGACGACTATTAATATAAACAAATGGCTGTAAATACTTATCATCATTTGCTAAATAAGAAAAAATTGTTTTCATACTAAATGAAAATTCTAAAAGATGTATTTAATATATAAAACCCACTCTTTAAATTATTAAACGCTTATAACGGTTAAAAACGCGAAATATATCTGTTTACTTATTTACAATTTATATTAAAGGTAAAAATGTAGTAAGTTACTATATTTAATTTAAAGTTAATATATTGTATTGTATGTGTAACAATATATTTCACATTTTAAAAGGGGTTAATTGTGTACTATTCGCGTTAACTACAACACACACTCATTAAATTTTTAATTACACTCACTCGAATCATAGAGGTCTATAAGCGTGGCCCATCCAGGCCGTTGCCTCGCAACGAACATAGCTCGTGGCGCGGCGAGTGTAGCACAACGCTCTCTCAGTTCTGCACGCAACCATGCGTAAACACGAGAACCACCGCTAGACAAACGCGCACCAACCACGTGACGAGCTGACTGCAAGAGTAACAATAATCAATTAATGAAAGCCATATTAGCTTAAGTTAAATGCGTTGCCAAGCATTGCGACCAGGAAATATTCTGAGATCTTCTACCAGAGACTGTGTGTTTCTTTTATTAGAAATTTCAATCTATGTGAATGAAGAAAGATTTAATTCGTCTTACTGTAAGTTCTGTAATAGTGTTGATATCAGCAAGATAGCCTGACGGTAGTTGCACGGTGAGTAGAGTAAGCCCACTCTCTGTTTCGTTTCCAGAAGGCACGAATCTGTAAATAATTTTACATAGATTTCCTAACATAATACATCTATAATTAAAAAATATATATATATCTGAAATATTGATGGATGGTTGAAAGAAATTAACTTTCTATCGAACTCATAAGTCTTATTCTGACGGCCTTGTTCTTCTAATGGTGGTAATATATCTGTGGTCAGTGTTAGATCCCCACTGTTACCAACATATTTCAAATAAATTTATAATTTTTCTAAACTTGTTAGAAGTTCGTCTGGAAATATGGATAGCTATTTGGTGGTAGGAATAACTAAATTCCGTCCGTATCACCGTTCACAGGTGTAATAGCCGTGAATTTTAATCGCGTTTCGGTTTCAGTAAGTAGATTTCCAAATATCCAAAGTCAAAATAAGTTGAGAGCGCATCTAATTTAGATGATATGGCTGGGGTATTTCATGGAGTGTACCTTTGCTTTTCAGTCTTTCTCTATCTTAAAAATAAAAATACCGCGTTTTTAAATTGTCCCTGTTTTAGAAAAGAATAGGAGGTCAAGAGGATGCTATCATTCAATTTTGGTTCACTACAAGCAGCTGAACTGTTTTTTTTTAAGTCATTACTAGGATTAGTAAATACTATTAACACATTACGGCGCCATACATTAAAAATAAACTTACCCTACACAAATGGATAGTTGCAAACGGTCTTTAGTAGAGACTTGATCCACCCTGGGGTCGAGCGTGTAACGAGGCCAGGCTGCTGTCACATTAGTGCTACCAATAGCAGTAAGACCCACCACAGCTATACCACGACCTTCAGTTGTGGTGCTTGCTGATCGCATGTTGCGGATCTGTGGGAGAAGTACTTAATTATAAGATTCTGTAAGATATTTCAAAATCATAGCAAAATCTTTATCATTTGAGTGGTTTTTAAAGAAATATGGTTCTTAAAATGATGTAGTTACTTTTTATTTAAGCGATCATCATATTTTTATTTATTTTATTCTTAAACAAATGCGCAGACTCTATTAAAAAAATATAGACTACTTCAAGTAGCAGAATTTGAATTAAATAAACGTTACTTACGAGCTGTGTCTGTATGATGAGAGCGTTGTCTGTGTCGATGTTGAATTGACGTGGTTCCTCGAAACCAGTCACGTTTACTGATATACGCAATTTCGTTGACGTCTTTATCGCTTCAGAAAACTGTGCCAGTGCATCCAACTACAAAGAATTAGTTCATTAAGGAAAATACTACTTCAAAAACAAAATTATACCTACAAAGTAACTTTTGCTACTCCAATATAATAGACATCATTCATATCACCAATCATGTTCATTAATTCAGTGGCAACGTAGAAGTTGATGTACAAGTACCTTTTACCCGTACTTCAACAGCAAATTTTATCAAATTGGGTTAAAAAATTATGGAGTATACAAATACTAATAATTGCCACCTCAAAAAAAAATCTGATATCAATGAAATTTTTACCACATCAGGATCTTGATCGCGAGGTCCAAGAGTCTGTAGGAGATACCTCGCAACAGGCACGGCTTCCTCCACCAGGCGAGTGTTTAGCATAGCTCGCATGCCCCACGCGGCTGTTGACGCCTCTAAGCTGTTCCCTTTCAGCCAAGGGTTTCTCCACTCGGAACCGGGCAATTTGCGGGACCAAAATAGTGTTGAATCTGAAATATATGAAGGAGTTCCGAGCTGAGGGGTATATTGGTGTGATTCAATAATAGTATGATCAATTATTGTTATAGTTTTACGAGTGGATCTATTAAAATAGCACTTTAAAAAAAACTTTCGGCAAGTGTATTTCAAAGTAGGTTTATTTAACATTGCTTTAATTTTAAGTATTTAATCAATTGAGATTTTGAATTTTGGATTGGATTTATATCTTACCCGTAGTATTTGCGTACTTTTCCATTAGCTGAAGAGCTCTCTGGGCCTGCGGATGTCTTGCAGCTGTCAAAGCACTCGTGATTATGGCCAGTGTGTACGCATCCAAATCGTCTGTTATATGTCGGGCCACGTAATCTACTGCCTTGTTTATAGCATTCTTGTATGATATCTCGCTACCCTGTAAATTATTATTTTTACTCTATGGGTATCACCATTGAAGCTTTTAAAATGAACCCGTATTAACTAAGAAACAATACGTAGGTAATAGAGGTAAAGATATTATATGAAATTTTTGTAATTAAACGATTGTCTCAGTTAATTTACATTTTTTATATAATCAAAAAAAAGTCTATGTCAGCTGCATTAGTATTTTGAATTATTTAAGAAATTAAGCTAGAGCGGAACAGATATAGATAGATGCATGATTGAATTTAAAAAAAGGGCCTCCAATCGGCTTTGCGATATACGGTGGTTAATAGCTAACGAACCTTGGTATCGAGGAAAGCTAGTAGAGCGTGAGCAGTTAACGGTAGAGTCGCTTGCGCCGCCGGAGCATTTCGTTGAGAAGGTGATGGAGGTGACCAACTGCCGTCGGTCGCTTGAGCGTTGGCTAGCCAACGTGCTGCTGTAGTGGCTGCATCGGGCGTAACTTCTACGTATCGTGCTGCTCGAGACAACCAACGGGCTGCAGTCGCCGTCATCCTATTAAATAATAGCAAGTATTAGAACTTAGACAGACTATATATTGAAATAAATAAATAATTCAAAAAATTCTGCGATAATATTTTTTATTTTTGCAGAAGTATTTTATTACTGGAACAAACTCTTTCATATTACCCGCACGTAAAAGTATTAGAACTATTGAGAAATACTTTTTAAAATTAAGAAGTACATTTAATGTTACGTAGAATTTACTCACCAGACGTCAGATGCAGCATCATCACTGCTCTCTTGTGAGAATGACCCGTCACTCTTTCGAAACGCCATTAACCTTTGATAGCCAAACGAAGCTTGCGCACGCGCTTCTTTAGAGATCGTTATTTCATCATCCTGTTCAGTCACCTGAAATATATTTATTTCTATTATTTTATTTGTTTTTTTTAGGAATTTAGTTAGATAAAACGTGGTTAATTACCTGTAGATAGTCCAATAAGATGCATGCTCTTGCCAACGGTCGTAATGCGTAAGTTGCATCGGCAGCAACAGTAGTAGGTGCTTTTAGAGCTCGAAATGAGTTTGCAAGCAAATCTCCAGCCGCTTCAAGTGATACTGCTGCAACCTTCGTACCAGGAGCTGGAGAAAGAGTTACATTTGCTCTCGCAACCCCACGACGTGCGTCCAGTAAAGACCAGGACCATACTTCTTCGTCATATCCATCCTGTTGAAAAAATATTGCGTGAGACGATTATATATAGAGTTTGTTAGTAGAAAATTATATAAATAGGACATGGGAATATCATACCTTTACAGTAATTGTGCGAAACAGTGAAGCTGAAACTCCGTTCCCAGTAGCTTCGATAATCACAGGGGCTACGCCAACTCTCGCAGTGCTTACTAAAAATGCGGCGCTAACGGATCCTAGCGCAGGAACTGATAGCCGGAGACGACGATACAACTCAATTTCTGCAGTGTTAAAAATGATATTATAATGTATTAGTTTCCATAAAATAGTAATAAAAAAAGGCTCGCACTCACTTTTTGTCGACTCAACCGTGTTCTCCAGCGGTTCGAACTCAAAATATTGGTCTGAATTATGGAATGTGACCTCAATATTTGTATCTACCGTCAACGAGCTCTTGAGGGTAATAACCGCAGCTAAAGCTTCTCCCTTTTGCAGCGTTTCTGGAAGCTCTGCAGTGATCGCCAAAGGAACAGAAGTGGTGAACTGCTGTGGAGGCGCTATTCCAAGACCGAGAGTGGGATGTATGGCGAATGCTCCAATGGACCAATTGCCACTTATTGCCGGAGACCATCCTTCCCTTGTGCCTCTGCCATCATTTCTATGATAGAATAAATAGCTTGAATGAGTATATTTACTGGGTATTTTCCAGTTATTTTTTTCAATTTCCCGATCCTGTTACAGTAACTCCAGCTAATCATTTTTAAGATAAACGGATAGCCCTACATTACATTTACAAAATATACTTAACAAAATATTACATTACCCAACAGAAACATTAGCGAACATCCATGTGTTCCGTGGTGAGGCTGTTAAATAGAAGCGTGGTGAAGGAGGCGGTGGCAACCGACTGAATGCGTATGGACCTGCCGTCGGAGCTCGCGTACCAGTCTCCAGAACCATTGGGCTTGTATCTGTAAAACGTCAACAAAATCATATCTAGAGATTCTAGACTATGATTTCATGAATCTAAAATTTTTCATGTTGCACATTGTTTTTTTTTGTAAACTTAACCTACTTTACGGTTTATTATTTCAATCTTACATTGATGTATATTAGGTTTTCCTTTCAATTGCTATAAAGAAAATAAAGACGTTTTAAATAAGACATTACAAAGTACTGTACTCGCCCTATAGCGGGTTATAGAGACCTACGTCTACGTATGACGTCACGTTATGGTATATTGTTATCACTTCTAGAATGCTATGTAGTGTAACTAAAATAATAAAGATAATCAATATATTATTTAATTTACTTTAATAATAAGAAAGGACAGTTTTTTTATATAAAATAAAATTGTAATGACAATTAACCATGTAATGATTTTTTTTTGTGTTTTGACTAACTCACCTATCTAATGCTCTTACTGTAATCTCTATTATATATTTGGAATTGTACAAAATAATGTATTTACCACTTGGTGTACTAGTGTCTACAAGGCCATCTGTCAAAAGAACAACGCCGGCATTCTGAAATAATCATACAGTTTACTATTTAGTAAATTATTTCACTTTGAGTACTAAGTATAATAAGTATTTATTCTTACTTGGAATACGTCTGACGCTTTGCGACCTCCTAAATCAAATCCCATTCCTGGCAAAGTATCTTCATTTTTAAACATCGAATGTTTTAAACCGAGGAAGCTTTCAACCTCGCGTTCAACCTGGAAGAGTCAGTACATACATTTATATTTATTTATAATATGAAATAGCATGGTAATGGAGCAGAGTTTTGGGGTAGTTTTTCTTAATGATAGAGGAGGACAGACATAGCATGGGGTTCACTTAATGGTAGATAATCTAAACAAGTTGCGCTGTCGACCTATTTGGCTTTGGATATTCGGAAATCCACAGACTGATATCCAAACGCGATTAAACTTCACAGCTATTTCATCTGTGAACGTTGGTTCGTGACCCGGACGGAATTTCTATATTATACACCCATTTAAAAACCAGATTTCGAGACGAATCCAGCATGTTTAAAAAAAAATTGAATGAAACATAATTTAAAAATCGAAAATAAATTGAACAAATTTTTCGACTCGGGCACGACTTGAACCGGCATCGTCAGCTTTCCGTGCTGTTGCTGTACCAATTGAGCTACCGAGTCCTACACCTCATCGTCGATTTTTTTTTTCAACTTCTTCAAATGATATTTTACCGTGTAGTAAAAGTCTAAGAAATTCCTTAACATAAGTCTAATTATTATTTGATTTTATATAGTACGGATTACACTTACAGTGTGCATGTCTAATCCATTTCCTAGAGCATCTCCAAGGCCAGAAGTGATGGCCTTCATATCAGTGCCGAGCAGAGCTGCCTGCGAACCAGCCTCACTTGACACCTTAAATTCTACCAGACCGTTGGGACGAAATATTGACGCACCAGATGGCACGGGTGTTATGGTTACCTGTTGTGGACAATAATGTAAAAAACAATAAAATGCTCAGAAAGAATATAGTATAAAACAATTTTTAAAGTATGTAAAAAAAAACAACAACAGGATGATTACGTCAAACAAATACGCCACCAACAAACACCTACAATGTATAACGATGCTAAGTTATTATTTAACGTAGGATATCAGAAAACTCGTTCTAAAACAGTTAACGTCTTTATCTAATATAAATGTAACCCTTAAAAAACAATAATTTTATTTTAATGAGGCTCTTTAATCAACATAAGTATCTCTTTGTGGAATGCGGTCTCAGTCACTAGTAAAACGTTATGTAACATTGGGTAAAGATCGATATTTAGTTAGTAGTACAAATGTGATTACATACATCCAAGTAAATTTTGCAGCTAAAATGACTTAATACCTGGTTTTGCAGTAGTTTGTCATTGGGTATATAGATTGCAGCACTGAGAAGAGCATCAGCAGGGTCCAAGCGGGGATACCACGCCAGCAGTGTGCAGCCAGGGGCCATTGCGCTCGTTACCCCCACTGTTATGTCCACGTTGCGTGCAGCTGGGCTTAGCTAAAAAACATTACCAAAATAAGTGTAAAAATATGGTTGTATTTAATCCTGCTTTTGGTATGGGTTATTGTCATTATTTACTGATTTCGATTAAAAATTTTCACTCACGAGTATAATTATCCCGAAAATGCGTTGTTGACTAGAAAAAAATCGAGTTCTAATAATTTTACATATTAAAGCGGTGGCTTGGTCTAGCCGCAAACATGGCGAGCGCTGGCGAGCTCGCCCAAACGTCCGGTTAGTATTCGAAGCCAATCGGGCACAATACGTTAAATCATAACCAAAGAAAAAAACTACTTTCGACTAACGATTGTAATTTTTTTGTATGACAACGTTTCATTTGATATAATTGGTGTAAAGATTATTGTAATGACAAAAAATGTTTGGGGCACTTATCTTTGTCAATTTATTTATTAGGCCAGACAACTTTTAGACGCCCGTTATTCCAATTTTATTTTATTATTCCAATTTTAATGTACATGAGTGACATAGCGGCGTCCACTTTGTAAAAAAATGTCACAGCCTTAACAAAATTTTGTATTTAATTTAGTTATTGAATTACATAAAGCAAAATGAAGAACGATCATATATTTTTTTTATCAATCAATGAATTTGCATTTCTCAAAGGGTATAGACCTAATAACGTTCACAAATACAATAAATGCTGGTCCTTACTATGTCTTCCTTTCAATCCAACTTTCAACCTCACAAGTTTAAAACATACTTATTTTTACGATATACATATATTATAACAATAGTTAAAATGCTTTTATTTAATTTTTTTTTAAAAATTTTTTTTTAATGATTTTCTTACCTCCAAGGTTTTGGCTATCACGATATCGCCTCTCCCAATGACCAAATAGTGAACAATATCCATAGGCTCAGTGGCTGTTAATTTCGCTTTGATATTGTCACCGACTGCTGTATTACGAGACAGTACTTCGAGGGATAAGTACTGTCCTCCCGGGGAAATACTCTTCTGAACGTTTACTACACGCTCTGATACTTCTTTGTATTTTACCTGAAAGGAGTAATTAAAGTGTAGAAGTAGTCTATCACTTATGTACACGAAAAGTACACATTAAAACGCGAAATAATAGCTTAAGTAATTACTTACACTTAAAATTTCGTGTTTTAAACTGTTAAACGTGTTTTAATAAAATATATGAATAGGTCCTATTGTTGAATTGGAGTCAATGGAAGTGAATCTAGTAGTATAGGAAAAAAGGGTAATTGTTTTTTTCACTTCTTAAATTATGCTTGTCTCAGTTTACAAAGGCCAAAAGGTTAAGTTAATTTTTTTCTTTTGAAGTTTATTGTACTCTTATATTCTAAAATATATTCCCTTTTAGACAGTTTTTAACTGAATATTTATTATACTTACTACAATGTTGAGGGTGGAGTTGGTGTGGGCTACATCTGGTGTAAAGGAATAAACAGCGGATCCTCTGTTCAAAGACAACGTTGTTATATTCACTGGAGCCCCGTCGTCCCATAACCTCTCCACAGAAATGCTCTCTGATACATCTAGTGTGTGTCCAGTAGAATTTACGAGTTCGATCTTTAAAAAAATATTTTAATCAGAAAAGTTAAAAATAAAAAAAACACACCTTTTAGTCACGTCTGCATTGTAGAAAGAATTGGAATTTAAAAAAATCAACCACTTTTCAACACGACCCCAAAAACTTTCTTAACATGAGTATTATAATAGAGAAGATTCCGAGGCACTTATAGAGTCTCGTAGTTTACTAAAAAATATAATTTTGACATTGTTAGTAGCGTTGCCAAGACCCAAAACATAATCGTATTGGAGATTTTTATTATGAAGTATATTTCCATAATAAGTTTACATATGAATTTAGTATTTTAGGCAAAAAATAAAGTAAAGCTATTGGACCTGTCTATGTTAATCTTTTTCATCCCTCTAAATTACTTTTTAAATTTATACAATATACTAGCTGAGCTAAGGGTGAACCACCCTTATCACTTAGGGGGATGAAAAATAGATGTTGTCCTATTCTCAGACCTATTGAATACACATATAAATTTTGGTGAAAATCGTCGAGCCGTTTCTGAGGAGTTCAAGTTCGAAACCGTGACACGAGAATTTTATATATTAGAGAGATACATAAGTAATATTAGAAGTTACTCACTTGTACATTGTAGGGTAATCTTGGTTTGAAATACTCAGGTGACGTGATCTTTAGTCTGTACGGAGTTCGAAGAAGTAGTATTCTTGAAGTAATATTTTGTTTTATCAAAGTATCCTTTTCCTCTAAGACAGCCTCTACGACTAGCGGTCGAGCCGCGTCCTCAGCTAAGTCGAGGTCAGTTTTCAAACTATATGAGATGGTTGCGTCACCTTTAAAGTCAATTACTTTACGCGCAGGAGTTGAGAATACTGGTTGAAGGAGGTTTGAGAAGAATACTGCATAAGCAGATATCGTCAATTCGCCGACAACAGGTAGTCCGTTGAAGTGTCTATGGAAGAAAAGATTACAATAATTTGATTATTGATTAAATATATAAAGCTGATGAGTTCGTTTCTTTATTTGAACGCGCTAATTTCAGAGACTACTGGTTCGAATTGAAAAAAGATGTGTTTGTTAGAATATTTATTAAGGAAGGCTTTATAACAGCGTTGCCTACGTTGCGAAAACGGTTCAGGACACTGAAAAAAATGTCCGCGATAAATATGTCCGTCTACCGTCCGTTAAAAGTTTAAGATTAACTTGTCGTTGGTAACAGCTTAAAATTATACAGACAAAGAGAAGGTTTTCGAATTTTTGATGCCAGAGATAATTAGGTATTCTATGCGGACAAAGTCCCTGACTTAGCTAGTTTATTGAACGTCATTCATAGGGCTAAAAGTTTTTAAATATACTCACTTTGCTGTAACATTAATATTGAATCCACCTTCGCTGAATAAAACCTCATTCGGAATCTTCATTTCCATTTGGAACTTGGGTAAAACATAATCGGCTATCATAATCTGTTTCGAGTATCTCTGACCCCGGACTTCCACCTACAGGAAACAAAAGAACGTAATATTAATTAAAAATAAATGTTTTTCTTACAACACGATATCAAGGTTATTAAGATATAATTTATGTTTACTCTATTGTTAATAGTATGTATTATATTTTGGTGGTGATTGTTCTTACTAAATAATTATCGTAAAATAAATTTATGTTAGCTGATTTGTTTGTTTGAATTTTAAATTAGGAAGTGACACCTATATGTACCTTAATATGTATAATCTAATTCAGTAAATAAAATAACATAACTTTTATGCTTTATGTTGGTAAATTGAAAAGACGATTATATTAATTCACCAATGATATATACAAAACTGTAATCATAAAATATTATTTTAATTTAACCAGTTGGGAAATTTTAAGAAATCAGGGTACTTCAAGTAAAGATTATTACTATAACATAAAAAACACTCAAAACTACTTATACACTCTTGCATTTTACTTCTACAATCATATAAATTAAAAATCGATTATGTGAAATATATTAATGTTTTTAAATACTACTATATTCCTGAATACCTGAATTGTCCATTGTCCCAAAGCGGGCTCATCAGCTAGCATCAATTCGCCACTAAAAACCCCCCTGTCCAAGGGCACTCCAGCCCATTGTCTAACGGGGGATCCGGCCGTGTCCAAGATGTTGATGTCTACAGCATTCGACAGCGGCAGTAGGTACCTACAATAGTTCAACGACCGTCACGTAAGTTTAAAGCTCTGGTCTCCTATAATAAGCGACGGCATACTATACTAACGGTACAATAGGAATCTTTACACAGTTTGACGAGGGCTTGTGTAAGACAGTGCTGCGTCTCTAGTAAACACCAAATTTTATTCATAAACATTATTTATCGAGTAAGCATGAAGTTTTAGTTGATGGAGGGTATCAGCTATATAAAATCTAAAGATTTAAGATTGTCAACACATTTTGGTTTATATATATTTGTGGTCTCCAAGAATTTACATTATCTTATTTATATTCTTGGAGACTGTTGCCTTATAATACTTTGTAATCGTACGCAATCTTATGCGTGTGAATGCTGTCAGAATCGCTGGTTGAACCACTATCGAAAATGAAAGTTTATCCAACAAAATTGAATGCATAGATACAATTTAAATTACGAACGGTGTAAAGAAAAGAGAGAGTTTTTATTGGAATCCAAGAATTTCGCTTAACACTCTAAACTACTCTAAAGATTAGATGATACCTGGCAACCAAAAATTAAAAAAAAAAATTAAACCATTACACATTTATATGTATCATAATTGCCCTAAATATTTTAATTAGATAATGATTGTCAGATGGTCAAATATGCTAATACGGTAGTTATAACAGGTTTGGGTTTATTTTTGTATTTATAGATGCACCGAACGTAATAAAATAGTTAGACCTAAATGAGCAGCCATACGTGACGCGTGTAAATTGTGATGAATAACGTAAGTGTATCGGCGTAAGAAAGATTTACGCTAAACACACAACATGTAACGTTGTTTGACGGCTTTTACATTAGGTATAGAACAAAGTAACAGAAATAAAAGCGTACAAAGAGGGACTTTCTACGAGATAAACTAATTAAAAATCTTTTAATACGAAGATGTTTTTGACGGAATAGTTTTTTGTTATTTCATATAATTGGAATAGGAACTGAGAAAAGGTTATATTAAGGCATAAATTATAAGCTAAAATAAACTAGTTTACGACGCTCACTTGTCTAAGGCGATCACTCTAAAGTGAATTGTCTCTGTTGGCTGGTACACTCTCTTATCCGTCTGCACGAAAATGCAGAAACTTCTCGGTTGATAAACGAGGACTGCTGATGATGAGAACTGAGGTCCCGAAGTTGATCTTGCTATTAATTTGTAATGTCCGGGGCCAGGGTCATTTATCTAAAATATATAATTCATTATTCCTTATTAGGTACCATTTTCTTAACGCTTATCGTAATCGCAACCCATTCATTTATTTCATATTCCTATTCTGTACGATTTTTCATCTGTTAAGTATTTTGTTTTTTATTTTTATTTAAAATGACATAGTAGTTAAGATACAAGAGATATTTTTTTACATACACAAATACAAAAAAATGTGTAGCATAGCATTAAGAAATACCTTTATGTCTTTAAAAAGCAATTATTAATATTATATTTATTGGCTGAAATACAATGTTCAAATACTAACAGATAAAGCCTTTATCAAAGATTCTTCACTTTCTTATTTTTGATTTCACATATATTGTGTAGTATACATTTTTTATATTATTAGTCTCTATTGCTATACTAATAAAAAAATGTAATGGTGAATCTTACTTAATAATGTAATTATTAAGTAAGATAAAATTATTGTGAATAGAGCTGTGTGATAATATGAGTTTAAACATCGATCAATTAGTCATTTACGTGTCGCCAAGTGATGTCACGATTACCTTTAAACGTTTCCTCTATTTATTAGTCATTTTCAACGAATACTAGTTGAAAAGCTTGTTGTCTTTACTATTTATTTTTTATATAAAATATTTTGCTATATATCCACAATAAGAAATTAAAGGTCGACATTGAGTCGATATTTTCTTCTTACCCCAATATTAATAAGTTTAGACGTAGCTGCTGGTATCTGAACTTCCCGACCCTGGCTGAATTGCTCACCGGTGGACTTCTTTCCCTCCACAGCCACATACAGACTATGCGCCCGGGACCCTCCCGCTATGGATATACGATACAAACTATGTGGGCGCAAAACACGAGGGCCTAATACTGTTACACTGAAAGAAATTGAAGGAATTACTTTTACAAATTGCACAAAGCATTACTTTCATGACTTAGTTGTAACACTGCCTTGAATTGAATGTAGCGCAAAAAAGGCTTTAATCCCGCGCAAGTATAAAACTGTTATTTGTGTAAGGCGGTTAAAAATTAATGATAAATTATAAAAATATTAATCTTCAATCTATCTTGCCAAAACATGAGGCAGAAGTTTGTTCGAGTTCGTAACAACCATTCCTCTCTAGGTTTAACGCTTGAAGCTGAAGTTAGTAAGGTTAACCAAAGGACTTAAAAATACAATAAATTGTAGTAGATAGTGATCTAGTTTCTTCATCTCTAGAACATATTATACTGAATACCTGCATGCATTAAGAGAGTTGTAATAAAACTCATGAGAAAAGGTCTCCATTGTAATAACGTACCCAATTTGTATGTATTTATCACGTCACCATATAAAGAAATGAGTGCTCACTTTTCCGATTAAAAATAGTTTTACATTTTGTCTAACGTTCATATAAAAAAGTGTTTCTAGTGGTTAAGTGGTAATTTAGCAAATAAGAATATAAAAATGCACATTTATATATACATCACAACTCACAAACTCGCCCTTAATTAGACCCTAGCTTTTTATTTTATAGTAGTAACCATAATCTAGTAGGGTAGTAGATTTAAGCTGTAGTGCACCTTTCCGAATGCAATATGTACGAGCTATCAAACTTATATATTGACAAGGTATAATATATGTTATAATTTTTATTAATGAAACTTACCATTGTACAATGCCTATGGTGCTCAGCACCAACAGAATGCTACATTTAAAAATACTGCCTGTAGTCATACTGAAATGAAATTTGTTTTTTAGCTAACTCAAATCAATTTTATAAACAAAATGGGTTCGATTCTTAAATATTCCGAAACAAGGCACCGGGGTGGGGTCGTATTGGGTTCGGGGGCAGTTTTAAGGAACTAATAAAACTACTCAATGAAATAGATAAAACTGCCTGCCCCATGCCCCACATAGATAATACATGAATACTGTTATTTAAACGACATACTCATATCATACTTTCTTATTTGAATTTAAATAGTTGACTATAGGCACATTTTGCTCTCATTGTTGACATAACATACTGCCGCCTAAGAAATCCATTGAATTCAATTCATTACATGTTTACTGTATCTCTACATATATATTGAGCTCACCGTCCTTGTGTCTCCATACATCTGACTCACCGAATAAACATTATAGCTAGTGCGTCGGCGGAACAACCTTTTTTCCTAATATAGTAAACTTTGAGATAATTCGTCAACAATTTATTCCTACATTTTTGAACAGTTGAAAGCCAAGGTAACAATGTAGACAGTAATGTTCATATCGTAACAGCGGACTTTCTCTTAAGCTTTTCGAATTGCTTTTATTTTTGTGTGTACGGACACAGATGTGATATTGCATGTATTAAGTTGTTTAACATTCGTGTTTATTTCGTCCTTGTTACAATAGTTAGCGTTTCTGCTTTTGCCATATTTATTACACTTAATAAAATAAAACACCTTTACCTGATAAATTGATTAATAGATTTAAAGAAACCTAATTTTATTGCACTTTTCAATTCACCACTTAAAATTAATATATCACAGATCGTTGCGAAAGGGCGTGCATATTATTTAGATCGGAATATCGGTTCGAGCGACGAGGTTTCGTAGTGAACCATCGCAGGGTAACTGCGCGCGCGCACGGCATAGGCGCCTACGCACTCGCAGGTGGGGAGCCAAGAAGCCTTGCGAAAACCCATCACAAGATGTGTAAAAGTATAATGCACCTATATCGAATAAAGTGTCGAAATACTGCCCACGTTGTTGGACAGCATTTCCTGTCTTAGTTCAATGTTAATTGCTGTTCATATGTTCGTTTTAGTAAAGATTTTATTAATTACATAAGACTGAATGAATCTCTATAAGATTTATTAATTCAATAGAAATAAAGTGCTTATTGAAAAACATCGTTTTACTTTTTGAACATGGGTAGGTTATTGCTTTTTAAATCTAAGCATTACCTAGATTACCTATTTCTCGTTTACCTATTATATTCGATATGATTTACTTTACGTTATTTTATAAAAAATAGTAGACTTTTCAAGGCTTAATCAACAAAGGGCCACAATAATCGTTAATTAATTAAGGCAGATACTAGTAGCATATTTTTGTATATATAAAAACAGTTACGTTCTTCATGCACAATTTATCACTGCTGGCCATCAATGGTACAACGGCATAATGCTGTGGATCTACAGCATCGCATTGCATTCCTCGAAACTTGTTTCTACTAAGTAGTACAATGAATGCAAGTAACGCAAAACGGACTATAAATATTATGGTGATAAACTCAGCAAAACAATTGTTGAAATGTCTTTTTACTTCTTATGAAAAATATATTTTTAGTATATGTTAGGTATGCAACTTAACAATATTGCGAATTAAATTTAGGTAACCTGTCCCTTTTGCTAACTCGAAGGTCTGACCAGTTTTGTTTTTGATTCTTTTTTGTTGACATTGATATGTTGAGCCTGTAAATTTTTAGTTTATTTTGTATTGAAGTTATTCAGCTAAAAAAGAATCAATAGTAGATATATTTGTAGACGTTGGTTCTTTTGTGTTAGTGGTTTCTGGTGGAGGCTCTGTAGCGTTGTCGGCTCGGTGCAAAAGTGCAGCTAATGTAGCGTTATCTGCTAGGGCAGACGCTAAGGCCCTCTCCAGTTGCCTAGTGTTATTCCGTTCTTCTTCTAAAGCTGCTTTGGTTTCCGATAATATATCTTTGTCTAAAGCAAACGGGTCTGTTGAATTTTTTTCTTGAACATCGCTAAGCTGTCTCTTTAACTCAGCGACCTGAACTGTCAGACGGATAACTTCACCTGCCAAAAATATACTTATAACAATAATTATTAAGTAAATTGCTTACGTAATGGAATAGATAAGAATAGAGACTTTTTAGTATTAGTCTTTAACTTTCTTGCCAATGGTTTAAGTATAACATTTGATAAAATACAACTTAATTACATTAATTTCTAGACACGAACGATGGTAACGGAATAAGTAATAAATATACCATTAGCGACTTGAAGTTCTCGTGTGGTATCATGTAATTCCGCTGCTGTAAAGCGTCGTTCCCTTACATGCGCGGCTGCCGCCAATCGCGCTCTCTCACGAAGTTCGGACCCTGCGCCGGCGCATTTTTCAACTCGACGTAATTCATTCTCTAGGCGATTTGCTTCTCTGCATATTTTAATTTTTATCATCAACGGTGCACATGACTAGAAAAACATGTGTCTAATATATGGCAATTTGAAAAATACATTTTTATGCTCGTCCGAAATCGGCTTTTAAAAGCAAACAAAACTTTGACACGTTATGTGTATGTATATAATACATTAGAAGGTACGCTTTTCTTCAATTGTCACCGGAAACGGAAATATTATTAGTGCAAAACCAGGGAGAAAACTCTCGACATCACTTGGATGTTAGTAACTGAAATATGTAGGAACCTTCGAACCTAGGTTACTAATAATAAAGGTCCTATAACAAACCGTTTTGCATCATCGGTTGATGCTTGAACTCGTTCCAGTAACTCTACATATTGCTTTTGTAACATAACAAACGAACTTTGAAGAGGTTTATACTCTTGCGCATCCTTTTCAAGTACAGCTATCTGCTTGCTCATTTCTATACACTTTTCTTCGAAGAGCGACCGTTGCCTTTCCTAAACACATTTAAACCAGTTTTAACGCGGTAAATTTTGTTATCTATGTCAATGTTTTTCCGGAATCAAGTTTACCTAAAAGGATGGAAATGTATCACTTTACATAACCATCAAAATATCAACATTATGTTGTAATTTAACCGCTTTCGGGAATGTCGTAAACGCGTGTTGCATTGCGTTACGATATTTCAGTGGTATGAATCCTATGGATAAAACAACTTGTCAAATAAAATAGTGTATATGTCAATATAAACACGCCAAGTGCTACTGATTGCCACTGAACAAAACAAAAGTTATACCGTTCGTTGGATGGATGTACATTGATAGTAGATGAGTATCTGTAATAAAACAAAACGTCGCCCACTAATATAAGAGTTGATACTATAATATCAATATATATTAATATAATATCTTATACTTTTTACAATACAAATAAAGATGACTAACAGCTAATTCTAATTTTATTCTGGCGTTAGTAAGTTCTTCTTGAACTGCAATGAGATCTTGTGTAGCTTGATTTGCGCCAGCAGTAGCGGCCGCGGCAGTTGCCCGCAATTCAGCATTGGTCCTCTTTGCTTCAGCTTGTGCTGCTTCCGCTGCTTCTGCCCGACTTGCTTCAGCTCTAACTGCTTCCCTCAATCGATTACTAGATATCTATAACATATGATCAATTTGTAGAAATTTGTAATTCCCCATAATACTAGAATGTCTTTGGGTGTTCCTGTGCAAATATTCAATTTGTAAATTATACTTTACATTGTTATAATTTATTTATTTATCTTGTGAGAAAGTTTTATATTTCTTTACAATAAATATTTTATGCTTTATTTGTCAGCTGCATTAACAGAAATAACGAATAAAAAATATTGACGACACAACCGCAGGAATCACTTTTATAATACTTAAAACATAGTTCTTGTTTTGTTTATAGGCTTGATTGTAATATCGATCGCAACGGAAAACTCAATAGTCTCCTTAAAACTTTTCTTATAAAAATATTATCCACAATTGGCTGCCTGTATTTTTTTAAGAAAAGTTTATCCTCATACAAACAAAACCATCAAGCTAAAAAACTTAGCATATTTTTACCTCTAGGAGTTGAAAATCGGCTGCTAAGTCCATTAATTGTTTTTCAAAAGCTTCGATATCAATAGTATTTGTCATTTTTTCTATGAGATATTTGTTAATTCATTTTTTTTAGTATATACAAATAGAGTAGATAAAGGCGGGAATAACTATTATAATTTTATCCAGCTCCCGCCTTGCGTACCACAGATTATAGATGTATTTCTATAAGCACAATATTATAGATTACGCACAGGTTATAGTAACAATAATAGTATTAATAGAATATAAAACAGGTGTTGCTATTCAATCTTTAGTAACGCAATTGAAACACGTTAAAACTATTATACAAATATTAATGTTTTTGAAAATTTTTATTGAAATTCTTTGTTACTTTAATAGAGCAGTAAGAAAAGTGTAAATTTAATAGAATAGTAATTTACTACGAATAAGAATAGCATAAGAAAACAAGAAAATTAAATTATTGCTTCTTTAGCAGAATGTCTAATCAATCTTGTGAAAATATTTATCCCACAGAAGCCACTAACGAGATAAATTCAGTTTCTTTAAATATTTGAAATGTGTCAATTATTCTAACGCCTCTTTGATAGGAACAAGCGATGAGAAGAATATTGAAAAGGGAGGATATTAATTTTACTCAGGGAGGAGAGGTCTATAAAATTGGCGGGAATTCTCTTGGCGCCGCATTCAATCGGGCGCGGGTGAAGAATAGGTAAGTGCAACTTGTGAGTTATAAAAGTATTCTTATTTAGTAATTTATTTTTTTTTAAATAATAATTGCCCAAGGCAGATAATCTAAATAACAATTTTCACGTTGGTGTGTATAGCAAATATTTTTGATTCTCTTTTATATTAAATTATTTTAGATATAAAAAATATGCACAAACATAAAACCGTAACATTAAATACAATACATTTTTATTTTACCTTCCTAAAGGAAATATCATAAAGATAAAATATAAAAGAAATATACTTTTTTACTAATTATATTTAGCGAATGAAAAAAAATTTATTCTAATTACGCTCAATCATTGTAGGCAAAGGTAAAGTTTTGACAAGCAATTACTTACTTACTTACTCCGCTGGCGCAGCGACCCAAAGTTACAATTTCGACGATAACAATCCCTTTAAAGGGACTGGCAAGCAACAGATCATACGAAGCCCAATATACGTATTTATTATGTGAATCTAGTCGGCGTTAAACAAATGCGTAATTATTTTCAGGAAAATGATGCGTTTACTAACGCTCGCAGCGTTGATTTTAACAATTTCTCTCGCAATAACATTGCAATATTGCTCTGGGGCGAGTGTCAGGGGGCTTCAAATGGGCGAAGAAGAGGAAGAAAATATTGGACCTCGCCATATTTATCGCAACTATGGACTAAGGAGCCATTACGATGCCTTCGATGACTATGGGCACTTACGATTCGGACGATCTGAAGACTGACATCCGCGTAACTACAGATTTAACTGCAAGCGCCATTAACAAGGACGTCCTTAATTCTTAAAACACAATGACCTGAGTTCAAATGGAATATCTACGGCTGGTACGATATTTCTTAGAAATACTTTTATTTAAGTAATTTGTTGTTTTAATGTTAACTTTCTCATAAATTATACATTTGTGCTAAGGAAAAATAAGTAAATAAAAATTTGTACCTAGAATTGACTACTTTGTTTTGATTGTCTCAGAAACTAAAGTTGTCTAGTATTAACGTATACACATGTATACATCTATACTATTTCTTCTCATTAATAGTAATCACTAAAATATCTCATCACTATAGTACTTATTATAATTAAAAAAGGTTTTAACCATAAAAACGAATACTTAAATACAGTAAATCACTTTATTATTACCAATAAATACATTTTACAACATTCATTAAAATTAGTGTTAAATTAGAATAAACATAACTGGGTTTTTCGGTGATTGTACTTATATTAGGTCGATACATTTCGAATTCAAACTTTAATAACTGTTCACTTTTTCGATAAAACAAGAGCTCTGCGTATTTTCTTAATATAATCAAATACTTGAATTTGTAAATGGTAGTTTATTTTAGGCACAGCTAGTTTAAATGCAATACTCTAAACAAACATATCGTTGTAACATTTCTTTCCCTATTTATAATTACTTTAATTGACATTGTAATACTATGATTCATATACTCTTTACCAATTTGGATGAAAGCTATACTTTTTCTAATTAGGCACGTGTTGTCACTACTACTATGTTAAACATTAATGAGACTAGTTAGTTTCCTTCTAACCTAAGTTTTAATCCATCATATCTAATATAATTAAACTATCGTACTTATCATCTATGTAGTAAATTGCAAGAATTGATTTAGCTTAAACTACAACAGTAAAATTGTACTTGATGAATTAGAAGAGTAGTAGAATTCTTCTTTGACAATATAATATGAATTTGTTTATCAGTAATCCATCAAACCGACTTTAATAAAAATTAAAATGCTTTTGCGGTCATGTTTTCGCCCAAGCTTTAACCGCTAGGTCCGAGTCCTTTAAGAAATGTGTCTTTGGAAACCGGCCTAATAGTTCGAAAAATTCTAAAGTTTAATAAGCAAAATATTTGTCCAATAAAACCAATGGAATATTATGTGACAATAATTAATAAATACATAAATCAATTGCTTACTATATTAGCTGTGTCAAACACAATAAAAATCAGCTCATTTTGATGGGTAGTATGAAGGTTTTAGTTACTTTTAAATTCAAATTATGTCCCTCTTCTGTGTGTTTCCTAAGAGTGCCTGCAAATACAAACGAATAAATGTAGAACAATAATCTGGCGGAAAGTTATTATATTCTGTTAAGTTGATCCTTAAAGTGAAGAATGTTATATGGAATGTCATATGTGTAAAGAATGTAAATTACCTTGTTAACGAAATTGACAATAGCTGTAGCCGGTTGTTCGGGTTCAAGTTCAGCAAAGACATGACACTGGTTATCAGCACCAGAAGCCGAGCGAGCGACAAACGCAAAAATACGCCTGGAAACAATAGGCTTTTTGTATACACAATTCTGGTATAGTTATTGTTTTATGTCAATGCTCAAACAAACATTATTTAGTCAATATAAAAAAGAACGATACGTACTTTTCAGCTTGTTTTCCATTATCTACATAGACGTATCTTCTCTCATCCGGATCTATACCAGCATAAGACACCGCGTTAGATGGATAGTGTCGCCTGAAGAAAACTTTTCGCGTTGAGTCTGTTAGCGTGATTCCGCCACCAAAAACTTTGAAGTGAACTACGTGCGCAGTTGCCTTAAAACAAGAAACATAACATTATAGACCCATGTAGCTGGACAAAAGAATGTCCCACCTCTCAATAATGGTAGATATTTCTAATACAAGGACTTCTAAGAACCTTTTTCAGTAAAATATTTTGCACTGCACGCTTAACGGCAGCTGGTCCTGTGAGGGCCTCCGTGTTTTCTGATCCCAGTAAGAGCACGTTACAGGCAGCACCTGTGGCTAGAAGTGCCCGAGCCGCCGCATTAGCGCTACCTCCAGTCCATAAGTCCCTGAAAAAAGATTACTTTTATCCATACAGCTAAATTAAACTTATTGTATACTAGCTATGTCAGCAACTTCGGCTACGTAGAATTTTTGGCATCCAAATCTGTTTTTGCAAATCTCTTCTTCATCTTTATAAGCTTAAGCCACCCACGACGTCGGTCGTTCTTTTAAGTTAATATTAAAAGATAGACATTAAAAGATGTCGCGGAAACTTTAGATCATTTAAGAGGAATCATTCTTTATTATATCTTTTTGGGTTTCTTAAACCGTTTTCGCAGCGTACGCATTAGAAACTCCCAAAGATGAATTATTATTTTTCCACATTTCCCGCTGTTTCTTCGCTGTTATGATTAATAATGCGTTGTTTTATAGCCTTCCTCGATAAATGACAGAAAAATATTTTTCAATTCGATCCAGTACTTTCTGAGATTATCGTGTGTAAACAAATAAACAAACTCTTCAGCTACATATATTAGTATAGATTCAGCAGATGACAAAATAGTAAGGCGTGTTACCTGTCCGGAAGCTTCAAGGGTACCGGCAGTGCTAACGGGGTAACCGTGTGTTGATAAACTAGCGCTGATAGCGAACTGAAGACAGGTTCATCGGGACAGCCTCGCAGGCGGACGCCACGAGCGGTCGGTTCAATCAGGAAGTGTCTTACACCACCCGCGCCACTTGCACGTACAGCCAAACCAAAAGCACCGGGGAACGAATTCGAATCGCGTACTATGAACGCGCCTTCTTCTTGTTGAAGGAGTGCGGAGACAGCTAAAACATGACGTAATTATATTGTATCCATCCTATTATGGTTTTTTGTGTAATAGCAGACAGACTTTAAAAGACTGAACTAAATTAAATAAAACACTTTCACTATTATGTGACGCGTATTAAACCGTTGAAGTGTTTTATTAAAATAACTAAATTGCTTGTAGATGAAATTAATAAATGAAATGGACACAGACATATTGTCTACCCCAAGTATTTTATTAATATCTGTAAGTCTTACCGTCGTCTCGTGAAATGTTGGGCTTATACCAGTAGTGGCTGGTGTCTCTTGCAAAACGTACTCTATCGGGGGCGACATGTTGCAGTTCGGATCCACTGAGACTAGACCTTCGGGATCCATTGCTGCCGTTGTAGGTGCGATACTCTGATTCGGGGCTGCCTTCACGATCTTTCCTATAAATAATAATAAAATGTTTAATATCATACCTGTGACCCTGTGGGCTTAATTTAATTAATTTATTAACTTAGGCAAACTAAGCAGTAATGTAACATGTAAAGGTACGAATACAGACTAATTTTGAAAAAGTTGAGTTGAGAGACTCATATATTATGATATATGACTCATATGTGATATATACATTAAATACTGTTTGTAATTTACGCGAGTAGTAGTACAACTTAATAAAAATATTTTTTCAATAAGTGTAACTAATATGTTTCGTGTTAAATATAATCAAAATAAAATAAAAAAGGATTTTATTAGTAAAACTTATTAAAAATAATTTGAAATAAGTTTTGTCAAATATATTTAAACCCTTAAAGTGTAGTATTTAGATATAATATATATATTATTGTTTTTTACATTAACGAAGTAATGCCAGTTCATCACTTACCTTATAGATGGTGGGGAGCGTGGCGGTCGTGCAGAGAGAGATGGCGTGGGCGTCGGAGGGTACGGAGTGCGTGGATGTGTGGGGAAAGCTGGTGTGCCGGCGCGGGACTCAGCTCTTGACCAGCTCTCTGATCGCTCTCGAATCTATGAAGGAGACATTAATAAAATAAATAATAATTTGTTACAACGTTTCCAAATGGTTAAAACTAAAACATGTAGCAGAGAAAATTTGGAGCCTACAGTCTTTGAATAAGTAATCTATTCTCACCGTAGAATCGTTATTAATAGGCTCTGCTAATGACAAAAGACCAGGCGTGGCGGTATTAGTCGGCGTGCTGCTGGCACTCCATTCGCGCAACGTCATCTTTTCATACATGAACTTTCTAGATGAGGTCCTGTAAACGAATATTGGTATGTATTAAAAGAAATATGTTACGATTCACTGTACACTTAATTAGTTTCACCCTTACATAAAGTATCGTTAGTTGACGGGCTTGTTGGTACAATGGTAGTAACAACGGGTAATTTACTGTCTATAGTTTACGCGAGTAGTACACATTTAAATAAAACACTTTAACGGTTTAAAACGCGATATATTACTTAAACTTATTTGAAAATGATTTTTAACTTCGGCCCGACGCTTCGGATGCTTTGCATTTTAAAAAAATCATTTTCAAATAAGTTTAACTAATATATCGCGTTTTAAACCGTTAAAGTGTTTTATTTAAACGGGTAATTTTTCGATTTTGTTTCTGAAACATGTGGATATCAAATGTGTGGTAGTAATATCGAAATTCTGTCCGGATCACGAACCACAGATGTAAAAGCCGTGTAGTTTAAACGCGTTTCGGTTTCAGTCTGTGGATTTTTGAATAAAGCCAAAATAGGGCAACAGCGCATCGTGGTAAGATGTTATACGGCTGGGGATTATCGTCAAATGAACCCCACGCTTGTCTGTACTCCTCCGTATTAATGAAAAGTAGTAATACATTGAAATAAAACAACTACCCACGTTTCCATTTAAAAAAAATACCTGTCTGGGGCTTGAGGGCTGATGCTGTCTGTCCTGTGAATCGTCCTTGTGTTAACATGCAAGGGAACGCTAAAGTCATCATCGTCATCTGCGAATGCTGTCGTGTCGCTTGTATAACCGTCCACACTAGAAAATAATAATATGACCTATATGTTATTTTTATACTATATACGAATCTCTATATTAATTGGGTCTCACCTATTGATCTGGGTCTCACGCCTTTAAGTGAAGCAAAAATCACATTTTTTTTGCAGATCTTTTTTAGTTTCTGGTAGATCAGACTTCTACGCCTTGCCTGAATCTTTTTATTAGGTTTTAGAGGTCTTAAGGCTGTGTCCGTTTATGCGTTAAACCATTAAGCAACAGTCCTAGTTAAATATTTTTTAATATAACACATTGCATATAAATACTATCTGTAGTTTACTCGAGTAGTACGCATGTAAATAAAAAACTTTAACGGTTTAAAATGCGAAATATATACAAAGTCAATTTCAAGTCTCCCGTGACCACGGCTGCTGGAAAGCATCCGAAACGTCGGGTCGTAGTTATTTATTAAATAAAAGTAATATATTTTGCGTTTAAGCCGTTAAAGTGCTTTATATTGGCACTATAGTATATAATTTATATTGTCATTTCTATTTATATAGTCTGCTTTTCAGTGTTATTCTGTGGTGAGTTTAAAATTGTTTACCCATTATAAAGAAGAGCTAAAAAAGTTATTTTTTTTTAAGTTAAACTACGCGAAAGCTAGAAATACGAACTGAATTAGCCTTACCGATGGCTAGCGGACCGCCGTACATGTCGAGACGGCGCGTCCCATTCTAGAGGTAATCTGGCGACCCTCTCTCTTGCTTCTTTCCTTTCCCTCAACTTCTGCTGTTGCCGTTGCAGCCACGTCAGCCCCGAATTGCCATCTATGCCGCTCTCTGACCGCCTGGGCTCCCGACTTCGAGTACTCTCATGCCAACCAATAGTGCTGGTGGAGCGCCAAGTATCGTTGTTTATAACCTTTCGAGTGCTACTCGGTGGCCTCTCTATCCACTCGGCGTCGTGTGATAATTTTCGTGCGCTACTTTGTGGTCCCTTGATGCTTTCTGCGTCTCCATTTGTCCAGCTAAAAGAAATTAAAATAATAAAGATTACTAACACATTAACATATGGTGTGTAAATTTACTTACACAGTTGTTTTTTAATAAAACACTTTAACAGTTTAAAACGCGATATATATTAGTTATACTTATTTGAAAATTATTTTAACTACAATCCGACGTTTCGTATGCGTTGTAGGTAATATATACCGTGTTAAAAACTGTTAGTGTTTTTTTAATGTGTACTACTCGCTTAAACTACAGACTGTATTTATACAGTACATATTGTGTATGAATCATAAATAATAATTGTATATTTCTACATTTAAATTTTGGTTCTCTCCTACGAAAAAATATAACAAGTAATGTCTAAGTCAATATTAAAATCAGTGTATGATGTTGTTTCTCCTAAATGGGGCCTGGGGCAGACATTTCTGTGTCTCATTTACTAATAGATTAGATCTAAAAGCAAGTGTTGTACTCTGCGCGTAGACCGACTTCAGCCAGTAGTTTTTATGTTATCTCAGAAATTGAACCCAGAACCTCTTACGCTTAACTCAAAGATAGGTAAAGCTAGGGCAATAACTATTGACCCACGCGGCGACTAAAACATACTATTTTAACAATATATCGTAATAAGTATTTACTAGTAGCTATTTCATAAAACGCCTGCAGTGCGACAAGGGACCATTTATGGCAACGATTAAGTCGAAATAGTAACTTGTTTGGGCCACACTGGCGACGCAATCACCAGCTACTGATATAAACAGAATCCAAATTGTCATTCAACTTTCAAACTTTATTGCTGGGGCCTTAGCCACTTTGACAATTATAAAACGATAGGGAATTACGAATATAAAAAATTGTTTAGGAACTATTTGTCATACTGTCTGTATAGTGTTTTATTTAAATCACTGTAATGATCTTGGAGTTGAAAATGACAAATAGTTTAAATAAAACACTATAACGGTTTAATACGCGATATATTTTAGATAAACTTGTTTGAAAATTATTTTTAACTACGGCCCGACGTTTCGGATGCTTTGCAACAGGCGTGGTCACGCGGAGGTCTCTGTTAGTGTTTTATTTAATCTATTGGTAATTTTGAACTTCAAGATCATTACAGTGACTCTCAGGAAGATAATGAGGAAGAAAAAGAAAATTCAACATGCGCGACATTCTTAAATTAATATGAATATAAAATTACGTAACTTTATATTATTTAATAGTAAATTACTAATTTATACAATATATAATCTCGCATAATTAGTTAAATACTTTCATAGATTAAAACTGAAGAGTTATCTATTATATTTACGGGCATACGTAAATATAATAGATGACTCTTCAGTTTTAATTATCTGTACATTATCGAAAAGTAAAATAATTATATAGATCCATATTGATAAGCCAATAACAAATAACTGTTTTAGAAATTAACTAATTAGTAAGTTTTCTTATATCTTAAGATTATATAAATAAGATTTTTCCACAGCTACACTTAGACGTGTAGGATGTATATCTTGTGGGTGTTAATTGAATAACAAGCGATGAAACAATATTCCCTCTTGGGGAGCAGAAATTGTACCTATTATTTAACCGACGACAGAAAGAAGGATAATAAGCCGATTATATTAAATTTACGTACATAATAATGACAGCGTAATAATGGCTGCATATTCATGCTGGAGCCAGATTATAATAATCAAATACAGAAAAAAAGACACCTAAAAAGCTAATACTTTGTATTTCCTAGCGCTTCTTTTTCATTATAGAGAAAAGCCAGACAATCATGTGGGTCATTGATTGGTAGGTGAAACAAGATGGGCTGTCGGCCTATTTTGGCTCCACTGACTGAAACCGCAACGTAATTAAATTCACGTTCAAACTTCGTGAACCGGACGAAATTTCGATATTTCTACAACCAACTATAGAAGCCAAACGTGTTTCAGAAAATTTTCAAAATGATTTAAAAAATGTTGGCCCCAGTGGGGATCGCTAGTTACACCAACGAGCACTTTATTTAAATTTTATAATACCACTCGTGACATTGTATTTTCGATAAGCAAATTAGAAGTAACGTAACAGCGATCGTTTTTAAACTCGTAAAGCCAATAAACTGTATCTTGTGGTGTAACAGCCCAGATTGGTTATAGGATATTTTATTACCCTTCTTCATTGACAACAAAGTGGGTCGAGCGGAACGCGGCTAAATAAATTACTGTGCACACAATGTAACCGAAGTGTTTATATTGACATCGTTAAGCTAATAACGTTACGTAGATCTCATGAGAAACGAATATTTGAAAAGAAATTGACTAGTATGTAGGGAAACGAGAATATAAAAGTGTATATTTATCGATCTTTAAGAGTTCATATATGCGTGACCTAGATTGTAATCCGAGAGAGCTACAAGTTTTTTTAAGCCTAATAACAATTTCTTACTTATGTGGTGTAGTGTGTGTAGGCTGGTGTATGTTTGTTTGTTTTTCATACAAAAACTACTGAAGAGATTTAAGATTATAATGACGAGCTGCGTCGGAAATAGGCTATTCATTATAAAAATGTTTTATTTTAATACGGGTATAACACGATAAGTGACATTTACTAGGAGAAATCTGTCGCAGGTCGCAAGCTTTTTTTTAAATTACAAATCTAGTAAATAGTAAATAATACGTTTATAGACTGAAAAAACGACAGGGCGGAAATTGAACTGGCATCCACAGTATTCGTGCTGTTGCTATAACCAATTGAGCCACCGTGTACTTTAAGTACATAGTTATAATTGCTTCTAGATTTGTAATTTAGCCCAAATGAATAGGAAACACTCGATATACCGAAGGTCACAGTTTTGCTAAAAATACATCGTAAGTACTGAGGTCTTGAATGTAAACAGAGTGGATTAGTAGTGGGCGATGCGCATGGCCTCCACGCCTACAAATACAGGAACACATGTTTATCTCTAAGACCAAATGCCCCTTTACGTACTACAGTACTAATACAGCAATTGATTGTAATACTAAGACAAATATTATTTATAACATTTTAATAAATTGTGACCTCACTTTAAATATATTCAGGAATATATATCAACAATATGAAATAAGTTAAGCAGTGTGCGACATGAAAAATGTCAAAAAATGGTTACTCTGTGAGAAGTGTCAGCCATATTGATCATCTTTTATCAATTTCGATCGAGTCATTGGGGCGTCAGAAACACTCTTATATACACAAACTTTCGCGTTTATACGTTGAATACAAGGGTATAAATATTGTATTGATCCGATTAGCGCTGATTGTAGAGAGGCTTAATTAAGACTCAAAATCTCAAGTAAAAAAGCCCAGAATTGGATTAACAATAGAACTCGCAAAAGAAAAATATAAGTCTTTATTTCGTAACTGACTTACTATTGTTAATATACACAATATTAAAGGAACTTACCGTCCATTCCTCAGAGGCGATGCTGGTGCTGGAGTTGAGCTGGTTTTCGTTGTTGTAACATCCTCGCATGTGAGCTTCCTAAGAGTCCTGGGCGACAGCGGAGTACGCGGCGATGGATCCGGGGTAATCGTTCGCTCATCGTCGTCGTCTTCTATACCTTGATATCCTCGATCGTGGCCTAGAGCTCGCCGGACCAGTTCTGGACTAGCGAGTCGATTGGAAGCGCGAAGCATGCCGGGGCGAAGGCCTGGAGCACCGTAAGTGAATGGTGCGGAATCGGTTCGTGCGTGATACGGTATATCGGGCGCGCGTTCGACGTTCGACTGTGGTGTCGTGGGCGCAGGCGGTGGGTCTGGTAGCGCGCTCACGGTGCGCAACATGTCCCCCAGAAGGGCGTCCAGCTCGTCGGGTGGGCTCGGAGCGGCTCGCCGGCCCGCTGATGAAATTCCAGAGTCCATTGAGGCGCTGAGCGGCGACGACGGACCGCCGCTCGCACGCACAACCGTAGCGTAGATGGACCCGTCGAGAGGGCCGAATGTGTGAGCCGCCTCCCCCGCCTCGCCACCAGATCCAGCACTGCCGTTATTGTCACCTATGGGATTGAGAATTACTTAAATTAAATTAGATAAATCCTACAGTTGAAAACTTTAATATTTAGCACATGATGGCACTATATAAATTAAAAATCGCAGGGCAGGACTTGAACCGGCATCACAGAGTTCCGTGCTGATGCTCTAACCAATTGAGCTACCGTGTTGCTCTGACATCTAATCGATTTTTAATTTATCCTACAGTAAAACACTGTCTGTAGTTTACGCAAGTATTACACATTTAAATAAAACACTGCAACGGTTTAAAACGCGATATATTTTAGTTAAATTTGTTTGAGAATTATTTTTAACAATAGCCCGGTTTTGCAGCAGCCGTAGTGACGGGGAGACTATTTAATTATATAGTATAAATATAAGTTAGTTGTTTTTTTAATATCCTACAGTTACTAATTCATTGAGCTACATCTCGGACAAGTCAGTTACTCAAGCTGTTCGACGTGGGTGACGTCACGCGTACCCAGTAATGAAACCTGATTGCTTACTATCACATGGACCCGCGGGGAACTGAGACAGATACTAATTAACTGTATTTTAGTGGCATCGAGTGCTGGCACATTTACGCACGCAACGAGTTAAGACCCGGACAGTATCCATAAATGGACTAAGTTCGCTTCCCGTTACATGTATCTATCCCTATCGACACCGTTGTTCGCGGAATGCTAGAAAGAAGGTGCCTTATAGCGAATATAGTATACGGACGTTTCTAGAGCCAAGTGAATGAGTTACAGAGCTTCGGCAACTTAATAAGAGATCAAATCACATGTGGTCAGTTGACGATAAAACAGCTGTCGTATTTGATCACTTTAATAGGGCCAATGTAACAATGTAATTCTAAGATAATTATTATATTGTCATACACATATTCTAATACGGGTGAGGAAGTCTTTATGCGTTTAGAATGTCATTAAAAATAAATTACGTGTGTATGCATATATAATAGTTTTTGTACTGTTCAATACAAGTTGGTATTAAAACATTCCGTACAGAAAGACAAAAAACCTATGAATTACACATAGTACAGCAATAATAGATTAGGTACCAAATCATAATTACGAATTGTTTGTCATAACACTTTAACGGTTTAAGACGCGATATATATTAGTAAACTTATTTGAAAATTAATTTTAACTACGGCCCGACGTTTCAGAGGAAACATATGTACTTCATGGTTACATAATAGTTAAATATATAAATAGACTAACAAAATCATTTTGGCTTCGAGTAAAGACATATTTATGTAACGATCCTAAGCAGATAATCACAACGACATCAAACACACGACCAAATACAAGGCCAACGTGGATTTTAGTTCAAGGTAGCTTCGCCTTTTAAGGAAGTTTTTTAAGCATTTTAATACTTCTATTTACTATACGGACTTGTAAAACTTTGTAAGTTTATCTTTAAATTTTTTGTTACGTCTTACCGACATTAGAATGCCTTTCCAACCATCTCTAAATATCGAAACTAGAATGTATTTCGCAGAAGTAAAATTAATCGTGAAGATGTCAATAACGCAATTAGCGTAAAGATATCAACGTCAACACGATGACCGCGAAGTTAGGCTGCGGTCTCCTATAAACGTGTCGCGTAAGTTGCAAATAGCGTAAGCGTTATATTTTTATACTACAAAGGAAACGAAGTAAGAAACCTTAGCCTAATAGCATATTATTGTACATATTTTGGCAAAGGACAGACTGAAACTGAAAGCAGTTCTAGCGTTTAATGTCAAGACTATTTTAGAAACTTTATGAAATTATTTAAAGACATATTAGTGGGAATGGAACGCGCGACCCGTTTTAATTGCCATACATAAAACCCTTGCCCAATGAGCCAGTGAATTGATTGATTGAGAGCATTAGATTAACTGACCCTTGATCAATAGATTTAATAAAACTTAGTCTCCACGTAAACAGCGCACAGCAATAATAGGAGACCCTAGCCTTATGAAAGACGTAGTTATTTCTGTGATGTCAACGAAAATAAAACTAACTGAGAGAGGGGTACTGTTACGAAAGCCGCAGGAAGAGGATGCGGACTGCCCTGACGCCAAACTGTATGCTCCAATTACATCGGGTTGCAAAACAAAAGATAAGAACGAATTGGACAGCTTCAAAGGCACACTTCATTACTTAAGAATAGAAATATTTTAATACAAAAACTAACATAAGCAATTCTTGTTATGCGTCTTTGGTATAATGTCCGTTGTTGTCTAATCTTGAGAACTTTTACGACGTTAGCGATAACAATGCTATTAAAGATATACATAGTATAATAAGTTTTGTTTCCTAACAAGAAAACTTTTTGTGATACCAAAACGAGATTCAAATATAGTTGTTTTTATCTTTTAATATGATACAAGAATGTATGTCCTTACAAAACACCAAAATTTTATTAAATAATAAAAATCACCAAAGGACTGGTTTTGTTCTGATACTGTGAAGAATCTGGTTTTTTGAATGCTAATTAACACGCATAATTAAATCAGACACGGTGTAGGAGCGGTATGGTGGGTGTTATTTATACAATGTAATATTCACAATAAAACAATAGATAAAAACATTTTGTCGGTTGGAAACTTTACAATAGATAAAGAATATTAATATATAAAGGTGAAGAGTTTGTTTGTTTGAGAATTCAACAGGACGTTTGCAAAAACTAATTTTGACATCCAAAATAACTATGTGGACGAAGTCGCTGACACAGCTAGCAAAGAATATACTATAGTTGACAAGACGAAGAATTTCATAATATTAGAATTCCAGCTCGATTTAAACTATTTATTCTGTATCTCGATGAATTCGAATGTCCTCTCGTGCTTAACGAAATGCTATGTCAAGAGAATATTTTAATTATTAAATACTGAGCCACTCCGAAGGTGAACACTTCCAATGATGTCATCGTGCCTCCACCTCGTTTTTCTACGAACCTCTAAACTCCATATTATTATTCAACCTTATCCACTAACTTATCTTTTTCGTTCCTAAGTAAGCTTTAAATTGCAACCAGTTTCAAATCTCTTCTTTTTGGTTATCCCTAATATTAAGGTTGTAATTTATGAGAATGAGAATCGCACGATGTTTTGAAACTAGAAATTCTAGTTTCAAGCTTTAATATGCTCGAATATTAAAGCCCCAATATGTACGGATCTTTTAAATATTATATAACACTATAACGGTTTAGAACGCTTTATTAGTTATAAAATTAACTTATTTGAAAATTATTTAAATGTGTACTCGCGTAAACTACAGACAGTATTTAAATATTCTTAATTACTTTAACAGTGACAAATATACGTTTTTATAGAGAAGAAAGTTACATTACAGTGAATTAATATTCACTGTAATATTAAATACTGTCGATAGTTTACGCGAGAAGTACACATTTAAATAAAACACTTTAACTGTTTAAAACGCGAGCCGTGGTCACGGGGAGAGTCTCCCCGTGGCCACGGCTTCTGCAAAGCATCCCAAACGTAGGGCCGAAGTTAAAAGTCATTTTCAAATAAGTTTAACTACTATATCGCGTTTTAAACCACTGTAATATTGTTAAATTTAGATTTAATTATGTTAAGAATTTGTATAAATAAGTGTCGTACATTGTCTAAAATTGAGGGTGCCCCCCCAAACTTCCCTATACCATCTAATACTTTACACTACAATTATAACGAAAACTGCGTATTAAAATAAGCATTTAGAACCAAAGTTGATTTAGACAGCAGATAGTTTCTTAACTAACTGAGCAGTTGTACTATCAAGAAAATGAAAATTCCTTACACAATACACAGATGAGTCACATTATTTGAACGCTCAAAGTAAAACCACTCGAAAACTGTTTATATTGAGTTCAAATCACTTACAAGTCGCACTTACAGAGAACATGCGTGCACATCTGGTGCACATGCAGTATCGACTGATTGAAAGCTTAATCGGCTTGATAACATCTTGATAAACCCGTTCGCTGCATTCTTAAATACTTATTTAATTTTCTACAGTAAACAACGTCATTCTCTACATCGGTACACTTGTATTTTCGTAACATAAACGATTTGTCAATATTTATTATTTGGGTCAAATACATGAGCGGGAACATAGTAGTTTTGGATAAGATTGGAAACATTGATATCAAACACTTTTAACTATTTAAAAATCGAACATAAAGTAAAACATATTTCGACTCGGGCAGAGCCGGCATCGTCTGCGTTCTGTACTGTTGCTCTCTGAACGCTGATGCCAGCTAAAGTCCTATTCGAAGTCGAGTCGAGTCGAGTCGATTTTTTTTTCAATTTACTTCGATTTTTAAATTATATAGTATGAAAAATATTAAAGCTTTAATATCAAATTTCAAAACGTTAAAAGTGTTTTATTTAAATGTGTACTACTCGCGTAAACTATATACAGTATTTAATTGATAACATTCTTAACCTGAAATCAATTTTAAATTTATTTTAACTTTTATAACTATATTCTGTAACAGAAAATCTGGTTGTTCCACACATACACGAATTGGAAGTATACCCAATTTTAAATATCATCTTCAACGCACCGATTCGATACTTTGAATGTGTTAAGGTAACATCACATTGTCAGTAATTTGTCATCCATTGCACGTGCAAATAAGACTTAGTTTTATAGTCGTTGTCACACATTAATGTATAATTCAAGACAACGTTCAGGTTTGAGATCTTTGGCATTAATTTCAACTCATTAATGTCTCACAGGTAGGTACAGGTTTTCACTTTTATAACAGAGACAATTTAAATAGCTTTTGACGACTACTGCTACTAAATAAGTAGTGCCGACGGATAAAAGTGCTCTCCAAGGCATTTGGCACTAACTTGAGAGTATAACTAGTCTTATTCATAATTTTTTATGGAAACAAAAATAAAAGGAGATTAGCAATTTTACTTGAAAGAGAACGTACCCGGCTTGAATTATTTCAATAATAAGTTAGGTGCAAGAAGTTTATTAAATATTACAGGAATTTACTTATTTTTATCAATAATAGTTACTAGTTTTACTTTGACATCAGAAACACTCTCCATCTTTAGTCTCCCCGTGAGCACGCCTGCTGCAAAGCATCCGAAACGTCGAACCGTAGTTATAATAATATTCAAACAAGTTTAACTAATATATATCACTTTTTGAACCGTTAAAGTGTTTTATATAAATGTGCTCGCGTAAACTACAAATAGTATTTAATAATAGTTAAATATAAATTACTACTAATACATAGTAACATGACAATCAATTGTCACGATTAGTAATAATCATGTAAGACCCGGCGGAGTGGTCAATGATCCCTCTTGATTTGAGGCGAATTGGGTTCGAGCATGACGAATTGTCAGTTTGAGGGCCCAAAGACCAACGAGTGGACATCAATCACTAATTCTTTACGGTGCTCAATTATCTACCTCGGCGCCAACTCAGCGGAACGACCCGTGATCCAATTGAGGATGTAGACCATAACTGATCTTGTGAATCGGGAGACGATTTAGTCGTTAATTTTCATTCATGATGCATGGTTAAACCAGAAAGGTCCTGGCTTCGAATCCCGAGAAAGCAAAATAATGTTTTTTATTAAATATTAATCACAAGGCTCTACACCTTTCTATCTCATGTTTTGTGTGGGAGATATGAATTTCACTATTTCATTCATAAACGATAAAAACAAGACTTCGCTACTTAAAAAAAGTTATGATTACTTACAAACTTGGATAACCCCACCGCACAAAAGAAAAACTGCATCCAATATTCACATACTTCGGCTTTTACAATAAATAAAGGCTTCTCAATAGTAAACAGTGCACGAAATTATAAATCAGTGACTCCGCCTGAAACGCGGTGTGTGACTGGGCGGGCGGCTAGCGCCTGTGTCGGGCAGTCGCGTCTAAAATAGCTTAGCACCTGCAGTGACACCCGAAAGCGAGTAGTCACCTATAGATACGCTAAACTGTTTTGTCAACTCGCGTAATGACACAATTTCACGGTATCGACTGTAATATTCGAGGTACAAGGCATTTTGTATTTAATATAGATAATCGAAATTTAACGCATTTTTTTTAACAGTTTGGTATTTACATGATGTCGGTTTTTTTATTAATTAATTACAATCGTCACATGTTAAATTTATTTAGATTGAACCACGGAAGCCATCTCCTCTCGTAAAGTAAATAAGTTCAGGAAACGCAAGTCGTAATATATAATGCAGTATTGGTTAAAGTTCGTATAATTTATCATTTGTTTACGTTACTCACTAGTTCAATGTTAGTTAAAAGTACAAATTTTATGCGATATTTATCGTCGCTAATTAGGTGAAGGCAAAATGTAAAACCGACGGCAAAAATAACCATGAAACCAAGCAACGTGTACATTCGAAACATGTACTCGATATTCAAATTTTAAATATGTGCATGACCCAAAAGTCAAAATTACGTGCTTTATTTAAACCTAGTTTACTTACTGTCCTTATTGTAATCGACTAAAAATCGGGTTCAGGGTTCGAAAACCGGGTTGACCTAAATGTTGGTATAGTATTTAGCATTTTTTAAGAAAATCAATCATCACCCTTGCCTTGTAGCGTAAGTAAAGCCGTCGCATCGAACTCATTCACTAAATTAGTACTGGTAATTAATTAAGCCCATCAAAACACATGACGCAGCGTGGTGGGCTATTAACGTGTCTCCTATTTTAGAGGGTCTGGAACGACAAGTGTAGTCTACGTATTATAGAACTATATCGTCTGAAAGTCGTAACTGAAGCGAGCTGCCGAAGTGTGTTCGCAGTTAATATTTTAAGCAGGTACTCAAGAACCTAAATAGACTGCTAACGCGGATGCAGTAAAACCGCACCTTCCCATTTCAAAAGCTTACTGTGAGTAAACAGACAAAGTTTTCTTCTGTTTTCGTTTTTCTTAATACTTTTACCATTGTTTGAACAGATGATGTAACAGTTACGATAAAAATGGAATAAATATTTTAAATATAAACTTACGAATAGGAAAAACGTTTTAATGGAAAATAAAAATAACCATTGTCTTTGTTACATTAGTTACGCTGGTGAGGTAAATATTTTTCATACCGTTACTGAAAATGTCTTGAATAGTATCAATCTTATTGAAGTAGAAATCTTGTTGATCGCAGTGGTGATAGAACCTGTGCTAAACGTTTCTACATCTGGGACTGTTGGAACTGGGTTATTTTTAACAGATTATTATTACAATTATATGTACAAACCTGGCTCATCGTCGGTTAGTGTAGATAAGGGTCGTAAATGTTCAAGTGAGTCAGCCCGGGCCAGGGCATCGGGGGCTGCACGAAGAGGTGCAGCAGGGGTGGGGGCAGGTGGTGCTCCTCCCGCACCCTCTCCTCTTGCGAAGATCAGCTCAACAGCACCATCACTTGGAAAAGAAGGATCTAGGAACAAAAGCAAAATTAAAGCAATTTTAACCTTAATTAACTTACAAGCCATATAATAAACAGTTGTAATTTATATTTTGAAATGAAAAATAAATATTTTTTGTATGGCCTAAGCATATAATTATTATTAAGTACAAAACGAAAATTTTGAATTCCTCAATATTATAAACTAAGTATGCGTTTAATTTGGATAAAGTGCATAATACAAGTATTTAAGTAAGGATACAGTGTGTATTTACAAAGATAACATTTTATAATGCTGTACATTTTTGAGGTAGTCTTGAGTTGGTGTTCAGTGTTAGTAATAAGGAATGTCTGTTGATACCCGTGAAATTATACAAAATGTATAACTTTTAAACTACTTAACAGCAAATAGGTTTACCCCATGTCACAAATTACAAAATAATTACAAAGTTCAAAAATGAAAAAAAAATATGAGACTTACATACATAATATAGTTACCATTGGTAATTTTGAACTTGGCTAAGACCTCCGAGATGTTAAGTTGAAGAAAGTTTGAAATATACCATGATTACAACAGACAAACATTTGTAAGATGTGGTGCATCTTATAGTTACCATGCAGAGCGTGGTCAAGTTGGAGCTTAGTGAAGGAGAGCGTGTGGTCGGCGACGGCGCAGGTGTGGAACTGACACGCGAATACAAGATGGCGCGGGGACGCATGAGCATGCTGGTGCGCAGGCCGACGGTACGCGCGCACGAGTACGTCCCCACGTAACGCCAGACGACCTACTCCTACCGTCCAACCGCCACCATTTACCATGTACAGACCTAAAATGAAAAGATATTTACAAAAGTTTATTTATTGTTCCAATGACATCCCCCAAGAGAAGATCTATTTCAACGGGTCGTAGGTTCATTCCCCACCGGGTCCAACATTTTTCTAATCAATTTATAAATTTTCAAAAACATGTTAGACTTCGTCTGGAAATCAGGATATTCTAGGTGGTCAGAAAACGAAACGTCCGGGTCACGTATCACTGTCGACAGACGAAAAAACCGTGAAGTATAATCACCTTTCAGTTTCAATCCGTGGATTCCAAAGTCAAAACCCAAAATAGGTCGACAGCACATGTTATTTATATGCTGGCGGGGTATTTCACCTACCATCAAGTGAACCCCACGCTAGTCTGTCCTTCTCTATCATTAAAAATCTTGCCAAAACAATATGCAATTTATAATGTAATTATTAAATGTGTAACAAGTGTCGTTAGTTACCTGACGTGTAAACACACGAGTAATTTTCGTAGATTTTAAGAAAAGCGATAGTAGGTGCAGACGACGCTGCCAGCGAGCCAGCTACGCTTACATGTGTCAGTTGGAGTGGTGCGGAATTAACTCGTATCTGGCCCGCCAGTAAGCCGGCAAATGTGTCTATGTATCTGGAAAAGAATACAAATTAAATTAAATTCGATTCCGGCCAATTTAGTTCTTTTTTTCAAACATACAGGCACAACAAAACACACAGTTACCGTTTATTGGAAGGAAGTGTGAAGACGGGCACTCGATCATCCAGGTATCGTCTCATAGCATATCGGTCCAAAGCATGTTCTGGTGCACCACAAATCGCCGAGTAATGCATATATGCCGCTACTAAAACTCCCAGACGTTCGCGGTTACCCCTATAACCAAATAGAAAAAGATACTAAAAAACATACCACTAATAGACAACTGACGTTATGACTCCGTATGATCGTTTGTCACAAAATTTTGTAAATGCTTTGCCTAGCGTACCTCTCGCCTACGTTGCCACTTAATTACCCCTAGATTATCATGTACATATTATTAACGTTCACAGTAATTTAATCTTTAAATCATAAGCTTATATCTTCCTTTATTTCTTACGTTGCATATAGTTTATGTTACGTTATGTGTGTAGTAATCCTATGAATTGGCTATTATTATTGTTATTTACCATGCGAGTAATATAGCGACGTTCTTAGGGTGTGCAGCCAGCCAACTCTCGATGTGTTTGCATGCAGCGCATAATCGTTCAAGTGGTGGAGCCAAGTCGCCTGGCCAGCCAAGCGAGCGAGCTCGTCCGAATACGCCGCGAGCAGCTCGCCCATCACCTGCTACATCTCCACCACTCACTTCAAACACCTGGAATTAAAAATAATATCTTGAATTTGAGTATATGAAATTCTATACCTTTAGACGTGTATAGTAGTACTTACTTAGCATGTACTTGTGTATGTATGTATATACTTATATTAACTTTTAGAGTGTTTTTTCGACTTGTTTCGGTCAAAAATATTTAAGCATTTTTTTACATTATCCATTGTCAATAAGTGTCATTAAAGTGTACTAACAGTTACATAAACTCTGATTTACTTAGTACAAATTCATGCAAATTTTGTTAATTACAAAGACAGTCGATTAGAAAGCCCGTTTGTCTAGTGTTGTTGTCTTTTTATTAATTACACGCCAAGTATTGTATATAACTGTGAAATATTGCACTTTTTACTACGTATTGTGAGAGCATTCATTAATTACTTTCCTTAATTAATAGTGAATATTTGCTTGACATTTTAATTCCCCTCAGACACTCAAAAGCGTTAATTAAAATATGATACATTCCAAAGCTTTGTCACAACACCCATTAGAATAATGAATACAATAAAATAGCTTTGATTATTTCGGCCTTTTTTCTTCAGTTTTATTGGAGTCGTCCTATATTGAAAAATGTGTAACCATTTTATGCTTTTTACGTTTTTTATACTGTACTAGCATTGGGCTTTATTTTCAATTTAGAATTTCTTGATTCTGTTTCGCATATCAACTTTATATATATTCAAAGAATGAGACGATTAGTTATCCTTCTTCAATCCATCCGTGAAAATTTTGCTTTTCTTATTGCAATAGGGGAGAAGAGAGCTTAGGGTACTTGGTGACCCATTTTGGCTTTCGGCTTCTAATTACTATTATACTCTTGGACTTATAGCATACGCACCATGAAGTGTTCGCCATGTTTGTTTGTCAGCATGTGTGCAGCCTGCGCTTCTGCCTGGGCGTCCCTGTGTGGTAAGTGAAGAGCCAGCATACGTTCCGCCACATAGCAAAGGTCTAGTCTTGAGGCTGGTCCGCCACCACCAGAGTAACTTATCGATCGAGGACCGCCCTGAAATAATAATTTGATTTATTAGTTTCCCTTATCCTATTATCGTGTTTATGTATATTATAAAAAAAGGATAATGGGCAAATTTGAATTTAGTAGTTTATAATTGTAAGCAATAAAAATTCGAAATAATAATAAAATAAATTAAGAAACGTCTACTGAAAAATTGAAACAAGAATGTTGAAAGTAAATTCAAAATAACTTGACTTTATAAAATTTAATTAGATAGACCATTCGATATTTTTATTCTAATTACTAGATACTACATTATGTCAACGAACTATTCGACTATTTTGTACTTTATGACTGATTATCAGGAGATTCTCACAGTTTGCCATCATTATTGAAAGTATCTCCATTCTGTTTTGGCTGTTCTTAAAATGAACAAAGACAACCTTTCGCATAGTTAAAAATCGATCGTAGATTGAAAAATGTTGAATGTTGACACAGCAACAGCACGGAACGATGTGGATGACGGATGAATGCACTTGCCGTTTTTTTTTAATTTATTGTAAAAATATTAAACTTAATTAAATTGCGTTGGATTTTAATTCTAGAGCAGTTTGTAATGGTAACTGTTTTTATGATATAGTCGTATTAACTATACTTGGAATGTCTCAATATGTTCATAAATTCCAGAGTAGGTGCTGGGGTCAAAAGAACGGTAACTCATGATTAACTCAAGTAAAATGTTTATGTGAAATCAAAACAAATCGTAGGCGCGACATAGCTCTGTGAAAGCGACACAGGCCACGCGTAGGCGCATAGTAAATGCAATGTGGCGCCTTACTACGTTCGTCTTTCCGTTAATCCGATTTACAGCACAGAATTATATGCTCTACAAAAGATTTGAGATGTAGAATGTGTTGTTCCGAAAAGTGTTTTTATTATTACACCATTCTCATTTATGATATTTCTAAATAGTTGTATTAACATTTTAAAAGTTTTGTGTTGTGGTATTGTTAGTGTTGGCTAAAATAGTAATAATCTTATATTTTTTTATGATAGAGGAGGACGCATCGGGTTCCCTTGATGGTCGGAGAAATAAACCAGGCATATAACATCTAACCAAGACGCGCTGGCGACGTATTTTGCCTTTGGAAATTCGGAAATCCAGAGACTGAAATCGAAACGTGAAAACCTTGACGGCTTGTGGCGGAAGGTGGTTCGTGACTCGGACGGAATTTAGATATTCCTACAACCAATTTAATATCGAGATAAATTAAAAATTGTTAAGAAAATGTTGTATCCGACAAGGACCGAATCGACGACCCGTTGATTATAAGTCATACTCCAACGAGTCCGTCGAAATGGTCCGCACCATTTCGACTCACATTTTAAGTTAACGTCCTCTGTTTTGTTGTTATAATATAGCTAGCTGTGCCCGCGACTTCGTCCGCGTGGAATAGTGACTTGGGGTAGAATGTTTAATCATTAGGCTGTTTATAAATTTATGTAATGACGCATTTAAGGCAGCCAATCTATGTTGTAAGTGCTACTTTGCCGCAACACTCTCGCCTCACATCACTCCTACTCTAACTCCCACTCTCACTCTCACTCCCATTCCCACTCCCACTCCTATTCCTAAAAAGCCAAAGAAGAAAGTTTCATTGTTCTAGCTTCAAAAACCACGAATTTCTCAGGGTCTAGACCATCTGTGTACAAAATTTCATTCAAATCCGTTCAGTAGTTTTGGCATGAAAGAGTAACAGACAGACAGACAGAGTTACTTTCGCATTTATAATATTTGTAAGGAAGTTAGGATTTTATTCGATTAGTACGAACCAAGTGTGTTTCTAAATATTGTTGAATTCACTTAGAAATTAAAATGGTTAATGTAATGTGTAATGTTAATGTTTCAGCAACATGTGCAACATTATTTAAAGAGGTATCGAAACTAAGCAAGACAAAGCAAGACAAACGTTAAAGTACTTACGTATTCTGTTATGAGAGTGGGGGCTGCGGGCGTGGCTGGTGCACTAACCGCTCGGGTCTGGAATAGAATTAATATTTAATAATTATTTCCTTATTTTAAATAGAATCACTTTATAAAAAATCTTCTCTACACACATTTGTATTTGATCTGCACAGATTGGTTTTATTTAAACCGATGAGAATATGCTATTTCATACTAGAATTAAGACAAGGCATTAAAATATTTCAGCAGTCTGATGGATGTTTTATAATTTTATTTATTTTTGTTACATATCTGTACACAAAGATTGTCTGAGAAAAATTGCCTTTACTACTACTTAACTCTTCAAAGTAAACAATGAATTCAGTAATACTAGATTTGTATTTTATTCTTCTATTATTCATAAAAATGTTTTATCATTATTATTACAAACAGTTTAAACATGTTACTATGTGTACGTAACATAATCGAATGCATTATTAAAATAAAATTAAATGGTCATTAAAATTTAATTAGCGAGCAAGGTCACACGTCCATAGAAATCAGATAATACAGATTTCTTGTCTGTAAGTAATTTAATCCCTATCACTTTTTACAAAGCTAGCGCTGGCGCCTTGACTTGACACAGCTGTAAGCATCTAAATTAATATTATTCAAGTGTCTCTATGATATATATATTTTTTGCGCACTTTTACGCGCATTTTTAGCGCAAACTGTCGGGAATTTATTTTGTTCTGTTACGTTCAAAGCACGAAAGAGATTGCTCAATTCAGGCCACCAGTGGACAGGATAGAGATGAAAACGATGTGTGTATATATATTTAAGAACATTTGCGATTTCAATTCGCCAAAATTAGATGTCCATTTTTAGCGTCATTTATTAGCTATCGTTAAACAGGCAACACTTTATTAAATTGGTGGAGCTATTTATTAAAACACTTATGTCTATAGGTTATAAAAAATTAAATGCATATTTTTACTAAAACCGAAGCTATCGTGATGGCACATCGGTAGGGTTCTTTGATAAATGATCGAGCTAGGTGTGGTCTAAGTGATTAGTGCAGCTTTTAGCAAGGGTCCCACTTATTGACGTTACTGCATTATATTGTTAGCTTATCAATATAATGTATCTTCCGCCTACATGATGTAATCTGAGCTGATCAACTTCCGATAAAACGAAATGCAACTACGAGTTTACCCGACGAAGAAGTGTAATGCTTCAGTCAGCTTATGTAAAGTAAAAAAACAAAAGTAACTGTGTAATACCGCTCTCTACTCGATTAAATAATACTAGCAGAATTATGTAATCGAGGCTTCAACGTCAGACTAAAAAAATATAATAGACTTGAATTGGAAATGTAATATACATAATGAGTATTCATTAGTTATGATTTCTTTATCATAAAGGAATACAAGTGATAAATAATTTTGAGAGAAATAAAATTCTCATCTCATGAAATTGCGTTACTGTTTAAGTTGTTATCTAGACTAGGAACGCGTAGTTGGAATTATTATAATCTTATCAGTCAGTTGATCTCGCCACTCGTAACGCGCGTAACTCATAATAGTGGTACATTGAATTCTGCAGACAAGTTAGGTATTGTTTGGGTGTTAACATATAAATTGAAATATTTAAATACATATTTCATTATAAGAAAAATATTAAATAGTTGAAAATATAGGTCAATATATCAGAGCAAGAGGCAAACACACTTTTGCGTCCGTTTCACCGATCTGTTTTATTCACAACCTGAAAATTAGTTTATCTGACTCGTGTGCCTTGCCCGATCGAAACCATCTATTGTTTTACCGGGATTTGGAATTTGACATTCGAGACCTCTCGCGCTTAACGCAACTAAATTAAATGTGTTAGCAACACATTTAACCATTTAGCTACAGAGGCGGTCAAAGTATGATACATATCTAATATTAAGTTAAGACATTTCATTCTATGTGATTGCAGTCAAGCCACATGAAAAAGTATTTTAAATTGAAAAATTTTACGATATGGTCAGGACTTGAAGCGGCGCCCAAGGTATACCGTTGAGGTATTGTGCCTACTGAACCTACACGTCAATGTCGAATTTTTTAACTATTAAATTTATACGTGTTTTTTTTCTAGCTTGACGTTGATTTTTAATTTATATAATGCCATCAACTAACTCAAATAACAAGTTTTCAAAAGGTATTTCGTCAGTGTATATTGTGATATTATTTATATATTGTGATGTTATATTCTTACATTTATAAGAATATAACATCACAATATCACCTTTTAATAACATATTTGCCTGCAGTTAATCACTTATTAAAGTAAACACACCTTAGAGGCAACTCTATGTAAAATATACGACGAGAAACATTTTCTTCCAATAGTATATAGCTAGATTATAAATAACACATAATTCATCATTACTCTCTGTTGATGCAAGACAGACTTGCCACTTAATTAAATATGGGCGTGTGGTTATTTTAGTGTACATGGCTTTGATCTATAGATCAATTAGGTATAATTACTTGTATATTTTTTTTTATTAGTTCACCGTTTGAATTAGCATACAGAGAAATTAAAAAAAAACATATTTAGTGCAACATTTTTATTTTTAATTTCATCCCTATATGCTTTGTTAGCAGTTTAAAGGTTTTTGTGAGCATTGATTACTATTGGTATGTAATTAGGTATACTGCATAAGGATAGTACTACCGAAAATAAACCGAAACAGTCACTTTTCTCAAAAAATATACTATAACTACAATTTTCGTCATAACATTGTTTTTCGGCTTTTCGGCCGACGTAAGCGAGGAGGTTCTCGACCTTACGCCATTACGAGCGGACGGCCGAGCGACACTTCGCAAACCTCTTCTCGCTTACGTTGGCCGAACAACCCTATAAACAATGATATCCGGAACGATGGCCGTGAAAGCCTTACACATTTTCGTATTTAATAATATTGTGTAGTGCCCTTACAAACCGTTATTACATGCTTATGTTGTTTACTTCGCGAAGTTCTATCAGGTTCACGTTGAAGGTGGAAGGCAGCTCTCCACAACGCGAAGGCAAGACGGTGAAGTGCCCGCGCAGCATCGCCATCCCCATCATCGACTGATGAACGTCGACGCATATTTTAGTCCCATATATTACATACCATCACTTGTCTAACGCCATATTTAAATTGAAAGCGTTTTACACATTTTGGAAATTTAACGAATTGAAACCCGAAATATATTGAAGTTCATAAAGTAAGATCCGTGATTACCGCTGATTTATAGTTTAAACAGACGGGATTCGAAGTTGCTCTTGTGTAAAGATTGAGAATTTTTTATAGCTTAAGGGTATATTTGTTTTAGATTCTAGTTCCGCCTGTATAATAAATCAATTAGTATTTGTTCAATCGTCTAAAATACTCGACCTCACGATAACTGAGGTCATTAAAACGTCTAAAATTTCAATATGAAATAAAATTAAATAGCTCAAAGGATGTGGTAAATTGAAGTATGGACTCTGAGTAGGGGACATGCGCTTCTGCACTGCGACAATTTGAACGATGCACGCATGCAGTCCTGCATGCCGATTCACTCTTAGCCATTTCTTATCAATCGCTTTGATTCGCCTTAAAAATAAGTGTATTTCAATAGCGTTAGAGCTAATTATAACCCCTCATAACCCTGACCTTCCTAAAACTCGCATCCGAGGGTGAACAACCTCAGGGGTGGGGCTCATCTAAATAAAAGACTGTCAAATCTATGTAAGTGAGCGGTCACTGAATGCCTCTACGACTCTTTCATTCCGCACCAGCTGTTTATGTTTTTCTTTTTGTCCTGTTGGATGGTACGAATGGATTCTCATATCTCACTTGAGTCGCGCCTATAGTTTATTTATAGTGACGTTAAACTGTTTTTGAAACCTTGAAGCGTTAGCGTGGTATGCGAGGCGTTTTATTATATTTATAATCTCAATTAAAGATCACTTTAATATCAAAATCAGGTTAGTACAATAACTATAATATTATTGTGCTAAGTGCTAATTTGCATACACCTAGGTCTAAGAACCGCTTATCTTATCAAGTCTAATCTCTGTACTTCATTATATTGTCTTAACTATCTTCTGCGTCTCTACTGTATAGATATGATTAATTTACTTAAAGGCACCTAAAATTAAATTAAGAAACATTGATAATTTTCACAATCAAGTTTAACGACCTTATAGACACAACTAGGTAATATTAGCAACACAAAATTAGTTTTAAAGTCTGGAAAAATTAGTAATATCACTTTTTAACTGCTATTGGTTAATAGCAAAGTGCCATACTACTTGGCAAACACTGCGGACATATTGAAAAAGAAATTGGAAGTTCGAATTTTAAATGGATAGTGCGGCCAGGAGCGAGCGGCGCAGGACGTCGCGCGACGACGGCTGTAACACTGGCGTCTGGCGTCTGGCACGAGCCATCACATCCAGACGCTCGCCGCGTTGACGCCGCGTTGCTAAGCAACCGTCATCTTATTTTCGCACCCCATGCGTTGGATCTTCTAAGTTGTTATTGTTTTGATTCCTCTCAATACGTCAAAAATCCTTACTAATATTATAAATGCGAAAGTAATTCTGTCTGTCTGTCTGTTACTCTTTCACGCCAAAACTACTAAACGGATTTGAATTAAATTTGGTCTAGACCCGAGAAAGAGCATAGGCTACTTTTTATTGCGAAAAGGGGGTTGTAAGGGGTTAAGAGGGGGGTGAAAGTTTGTATGGAAATTCGTGGTTTTTGAAGATGGAACATTGAAACTTTCTTCTTTGGCTTTTAGAGAATAGGAATGGGATTGGGATTGGGATTGGGATTGGGATTGGGATTGGGATTGGGATTGGGATTGGGATTGGGGTTGGGATTGGGATTGGGGTTGGGATTGGGATTGGGGTTGGATTGGATTGGGAGTGGGAATGGGAGTTAGAGTAGGAGTGATGTGAGGTGAGAGTGTTGCGGCAAAGTAGCACTCACAACATAGATTGGCTGCGATAAATACACAATTACATTAATTAATAAACAGCCTAAATAATTAAAAATTCTACCCAAAGTCACTATT